TACAATGACTAATGTTTGAATACCTCTACATAAAGGCACTGATTGTCACAAATACGTATCGACAACAGAGTTTACAACGGTCATAAAGTAATGCAGCTCAGACTTGGTCGTCTTTTCTGGTTGGACTTCCGATAACTCCGTCCTCCGGCAACTCTTCAGCATATGTTATAAGGGTGATCGGTAATATTTATATATATTTCAACATATTTATAATAATATATATAATGTTATAACTCAACAGCTAATCACCTTATAGTATATACTGATCCGGTCAAATACTGATTTAGCCGGATTAACACAAAATCTGCCGCCCAAAATAAGTATTTTTATGTGAATGCTCCAAAATATTAGAACAAGATAAAATTATTATTTATTATCTCTTAAAATAATTAGTCTTTTATATGAATTATGTTTAAAATTAATTACTAACACCCGGCTCAATCACACCAGCTATTCAGGAGTCAAATTCCATCGACAAAATTAAATAAGGTATATAAGATAAATGGCAATCAGACACCAAGCTATTTTGAAATAGGTTTATAATATTAGTATTAATATTAAAATTTAATTGATTAAAGGTTTTCATTTTCATAATAATAATATATACATTTGTTTGTAAGTACATACATATTTTGACACTAAGTAAGATGCAATAATATATATTTTGAATATATCTCAAATTTAATTAAAAGATTATATTTTATACTACATCTCTCGTACAAATGTGTGCTCATTTGACTGAGTACGAGTTTTAATAAAAGTGAGTAATAATTACTCCCTCCGTCCAGTTAGAAAGTACACATGTTTCTATTTTGGGACGTCCAATTACAAAGTAACCATTTCATTAAATATCCAATTTTTTTCACAAATACCTCTACTTTACATCACATCATTACTTTTATAACAAAAAAGTAAGGGCAAAAATGTCATTTCACTACTTTTACCTACCTATTATAATTAAAATACTATTATTCCTTAATCTCCGCGCCAAAAGTAATGTATACTTATTTTGTGGACGGAGGGAGTTTTATTTTTTTTTTATAGTAAAAAAAAGTACAAAAATATAATAATTTTTTACTTAAAAAAGAATCGAGAATATTTTTTTGATGACAATCCTAAAAAAAAAAAGAGTATAAATTTAAATGAGAGATGAAGTATTTATTTTTCTTTAAAATATATTTTATATTAAAAATTCATCGCTATCGAAAATATAAATACGATTTTTCCAAATCAAAAATAATGACCGGTTTGATTCTTTTAAGGGTTTTTTTTTAAAAAAAAATATTTAAATTAAATAATAATTTTTTATGACATTTTATTAAAAATTTATAGATCCAAAACTTAAAACCGAATAATAAAAGATAAAATCCTAAGAATTAATAACAATTGATGTCCCGATGGTAATGGGGTATGATATAGTGTATTATTATAAATTTATAATATATTGTTTCTGTCCCATATCAAACTATCTATTTTGACATTTTAGTATGTCTCATAATAAATATTTATTTTTTTTAATAACTGAACTATCTACCTAATATTACAGATACTTTTACAATTTATAATATATTACACAAATGTCATTACATTTATATCACACAATACTAATAAGATTATTTTAGTCATTTCTATTTTATTCATACTATATCTCAATATAACATTAATATTTCTAAAATTACGTACAAAAAACAAACGGATACTTAGTTATGGGACGAATGAAGTATATTTTTTACAATACAAGAATTCACAGCCGTTGCGCTTTGGGTAAATATTTGGTTGAACATAATAATCTGCAAACTAGGCCCGACAAAACAAGTCACACTAAACGAATCATGTGTAGTAGATAAAAAAGATCTGAAAACGTCAAAACAAGTCACACTAAACGAATCATGTGGAGAGTATTAAGTATGGTAATTTGAGATAATTTAGATATTAATTGATGTGATTAGAGAGAGAAATAATTATTTGTTTTTTTTTTATTTGAGTGATGTGATGGGATAAAGTGAAGTGTAACTTAATATATGTATAAAAATATTATTAATTATTTCTAAATTTGGAAATATTGCAGTGAGTTTGGGACAAACAAAAAAGGAAATGTTGCACGATATTTGGGACGGAGGGAGTAATATTCTTTTCGTTCCATTGAAAATTTGTCATTTTTTTATTTTCGTCTGTCACAAAACACGATTATTATTTTTTAATTTAATAATTGTACTATCTACCTAACATAATAAAGATTCTTCCAACTTACATTATATTATATAAATATCATTACTTTTATATTACACAATAATAATAGAAGTTTTCTTTTTTTAATCTTTTTCACTATAATTTAATATAATATTAATATTTAAAAATCTACTTGCATAATTTTTTTACTGATGAAATATTAATATTTTAATATAAAAATTAAATAAGTAAAAACTAAGAATCTTATTACAATTTGATTAAAAATTTGATAAGAGAATAATTGAGCTAATTAGTTAGTTAATAGTGCAATTAACTAATTAACGATTATTTTGTACTACATTGATTAATATATTTATATATGAAATTGTGTATAGTTAAAATAGATATTAGATAATGTCCATAAACTAACGTCTTATTTTTCTATTTGGGGTGTGTTTGTTTGGGGGTTTGGATTTTGAGTTGGGATTTGAATAGTAAAATTTTTGAATTTGAATAGTTGTATGATGTGATATAAATAGGTGTTGATGTGATATTTTGAATGTAAAATTGATTTTTAATATAATATAAAAAATGAAAAATAGGGGTTTGATTTGATGTTTTTGGGGAGAAATTTTTGGATGAATAGTAGGATTTTGTTTAAATCCTACAAACGAACACACCCTTGGAATATTCAACAATTATTATCTTTCTATTTTTATACATAAAATTTACTCTTTTATCCTTACTTTATTTACTTTTTTATTTTTTATATACAAGATTAAGGACAAATTTGTCATTTTATAACAAAAACTCTAATTATCTAAAAATATGTATATATATCAAATAAGACATTAAAAAATAGACGAATAGAGTATATATATGGGTGGAACCCGTGAGCGTTGGTGAGTCATACATGCCGTCTGTACATCTTACTGTTATAATTATTACAATCATGAAGGGCATTAACGTCATTGAGATGCCTCACATTATACATTTTTCGCTACAATTATATTTCATTTTCACATCAAAGTATTCAGTATTTTTATAATTTATTTTTCTAAAAAATAATGATTAATATTTAGATCATTTTTTTAATTTTATAATCTATAATTTTTTTAATTTTATTTAATTATATTAATATAAATATTTATATTATATCATAATTATTTTTACTAATATAATTTTTAATTATTTATTTTTAAAAAAATTCCGAATCTACAGACGAAGGAATAATAATAATAATAATAATAATAATAATAATAATAATAATAATAATATAATTTGCAATAGCATGTTCGATTGTTGTCCAAAAGGCAATGGGATAGTGTCTTATTTTATGTTTGTTATTTGCCACTTTATTCAGTGGCTCCCATTTGTACGAACTGAAATGAATGATTCTTGTCATGTGCATAATCCACGACAATATATCCATTTGTTCTAATGAATATATAATCGGGTGTGTTTGATTTGTAAAAATATTAAAAAGTAAATAAATTTATATGAAGTATAAAAAATTGTATAAAAATATAAAAATAATGAATATATGTATAATGTATTAATATTTTTTAAAAAACCTAAAACAAGAAAAAATAAGAACAATATATCGACATTTTTAAAATAATATAAAAAATTTAGTTATTTAATATAGTATAAATAAATAATTAACTAATATATTATTACTACTAACTACTATATATATTATTTGAAATGATTTTTAGCCATACAATGTTCCTTTTTAAAATAGTATTTTCTTTCTCCATGAAACTTATGTTTTACTATTTGGATATAAATATTCAAAAATAATAATATTTTAATATAATAATAAAGTAGATAAAAATTAAAATGAAAATATTATATGAATTTTATTAAAAATTCGTTTAAAAAAATAGTATAATAAATATAGAAAATAAGGTCAAATTAATTATTATATATTAAAGTATAAATAATAATATTATAGTTAAATAGAACTTTTTACTATAAGTGAATTATACAAAAATTTAATGAATAAATAAATAAATAAAGTAAAAGAATTTTGATGTATACCGTGCATATATATTTTACAGCAAAAACTTGTAATGCATTTACTGTGATGCATTAAGGGTGTGTTTGTTTGAAGGATTTTGGAGGATTTCTACTATTCATCCAATTTTTTCCCCCCAAAAACATTACATCAAACACCTATTTTTCATTTTTTATATTATACTAAAAATCAATTTTACATTCAAAACATCACATCAAACCCTATTTATATCACATCATACAACTATTCAAATTCAAAATTTTTACTATTCAAATCCCAATCCAAAATCCAAACCCCCAAACAAACACACCCTTAGTGTGATTTCTTCCATTAGTGATACGATATTTAAGATAATAATTAATTAATTAATTAATTAATTAATAAGTTATGTTATTTTTTATATGATTAATAATATTGAGAGATTAAAACAAATTTAATATATATGATTAAATAAATTTAAAATATATATTCAAATATTTTAAAAATTATATCGCAATAAAAATATATTCAATATGAATATTATTTTGTAAAAAATGAAATTTGTAAACAAAAAATACATTTATATATTTATAATTAATATAAATTAATTTTATAAAAACAGTAAAAATATGCTAATTAATTCAGCACAAGAGCTGATGTGTAATTAATTGTATAATTAAGAATTTATTATTTAATGATGTTACTACCCTTTGAAATACAACTTCTTTTACACGTAAAATACTTATTTTCTGAATTCTATACAAAAAGTAAAATTTTAAATTAGTGTCAATATATATATATATATATATATGATATGTAAATATTTGATTTATTAAGCAAGTTGAGGGGCATAATATGGATCAACAAATAGTTCAAAATCTCCATTTTGAACATTTGTTTGAAGAAGCAAGTTGCTCCACCATTGGATGCATTCTTCCGCCTCCACTCTCTCAAAATCGAGCGATGATGACGACGATGAAGAAGATGACTGCTTTCGGACATCATCGTCGAACTTATGATCCATTTTATTACATGTTTCCGGCGGCACCGTAGCCGTAGCCGTAGCCAAATTCTGAGGCTGAGGCTTTACTAATTTGTTCTTATTTTGATGGTCAATATACTTCATTTTCTTCTTATTATTACTATTTTTAATCTTCGTGTTCCAATAATTCTTCACGTCGTTCGCCGTCCTCCCCGGAAGCCTACCGGCAATTAGCGTCCACCTTAACCAAACAAACAACCTAACCTTAATTAAGTTTTTTTAAAAAAAAATTAATAATGTAAAAAAAAAAAAAAAAAAAAATGTCATCTAAAAAATGAGCAAAGAAGATGATTTTGATATGAATATTGCCTGTTGCCTAAGAGATTGTGTAGTCTGGTAATGAGGTCAAATTCGTCTTTTGTAAATTGGCCTCTAACAATATTAGGCCTCAGGTAATTAAGCCACCTCAGCCTGCAGCTCTTACGGCATCTGTTCAGTCCTGCGTAATTATTTGATTTATTAATTTTGATATATAAACATTTTTGGAATCTTGAAATTAAAAAATTAAAAAATAAAAAAAAAATAATAGAATTAATATGTAATGAAATAATTAATATTGAATTACCAGCTCTTAGTGGGACAAGACTCCAGTTACCCTCTCCATACTTGTGTATGCATTCTGTGAGGAGAATATCTTCTTCTTTTGTCCATGTACCCCTTCTCACTCCTCGATTATTCTCCATTACATAATTCTCCTTCCTCTCTCTCTCTCTCTCTCTCTCTCTCTCTCTATATATATATATATCTATCTATCTTTGATTATATATATATATATACATATATGTGTGTCACCGATTAATTTATATGTCTAAAATGTAATACAGCTGAATGATATAGGCAGTAAAAAATTTTTAAAAAAGGATTATGTACGAGACAGGAAATTACTAAAAACATGAACATATAAAATCATTAATTATAAACCCACAAGTTAGAGATTGTTCGTCTACAAGAATTTATATATTCCCACTGTTTCCGATAAATTGTCTATATTACTGTACATACGGAAATTTAAGTAAAATATAATTAATAAGTAAATAAAAAATATATTAGTAAAAATAATTACAAATTAAAATTAAAATAATTAAATTATGATTAAAAATTAAAAATTATATAATTTAAAATGTGATTAAAAATTTGGATAGAAATTTTTTATTTTTGTTATTTCCTTAAATACTAATTATATTTGGTGATCATTCATATAATGCTTTATCGCGTTCACGTATGCTGTTTTAGCTGATAATGAGAAAAAACAGAAAGTAAGAATAGTGTCCCACTAACTCAATGATAATCGTATTTTCGTATGGGACACTAGTGCAAAGAGAATAATAATAATAATAATAATAATAATAATAATAATGGATTTTTTTAGGGAAGTGGAAGTTTTAAAATAAAATTATTAAGAATATAATATTTATTTGGTCCACAAAATCTCTACCACTTAAAACTCGATTTACTAAAATCACAAAATGTGAGGCGAAAGTATAAAAGCAATTCAAATAAACTTAAAATCAATTCTCCAACATAAATATATATATATATATATATATTGTAATAACTGAGGAATTGGCTATTTAAGACTTCATAAATCTTGAATTATATTATATATAAATTTAACCAATATATAGAAAAATATGATATAATTATTTCAGACCGTAAATACATTATATTTTATTAAATTACAAATATACACTTTCATTTGTTAAAATATTATATATATATATATATAATGAGTACCTATTGATTTGGAAAAATCGGTATCATTTCAATTAATAAACTAAAATTGATAGAATACATATTTTTGTTTCATGTACGGTATATTGTATAAAATAAAGAAATGTATTGCCTATTTTTATTTATAAGTGTATTGTATAGAAATAATTAACTATTGTATGTGTTGAGAGGGGGTTGCGGCTACGATACTGAATTGTAAATTCAATACAACACAAAATATGCTAATAAATAACACTCGATATTACTATTAACAACATATCATTTATGTTAATATAATACAAATACAACACATAATATAATCTTACGCAGTACATAACATGCAAACGTTAATTTTAGCACATACTCCCTCCGTCTCAATACAATAGTCTTGTTTACCATTTTTGTCCGTCCCAAAACAATAGTCTAATTTTCATAAATAACCATATTACCATAAAACTATCCCTATTTTTTCATTATTATTACACAATTGTCACTACTTTTTACACTAATATACTCACAAGGGCAAAAAAGTTATTTATCCTTAGTTTTTTACCAACTACTCATATAATATCAATATTCCTTAAATCTCGTGCCCAACACCACAAAACTATACTTTTGAGACGGAGGAAGTATAACATATTCTTATACAGTATAAGTATAAACAAACAACACATGTTTTTATTACACACAACGTACTTTATGTAATAAAAACATGTATTATTTTTATATACTCCTATTACGTATGTTGAAATCAGCACGACAGTGTAACCCTTCCCATTATGTGAGTTGTATATGTTGTTAGTTTATGGATTATATTTTGTATCATATTAATATAAATAATATATTGCTTGAGATATATCGTATGTCATCTATTACCATATAATATATACGGAGCTAAATTTTAAAATTCAGTTCAATAACCACGACTATATATATAATTTTGATAAAATAAAAATTTTGTACGTATTTTTATTAAATTAAAATAAAGTATACATATATATATAATAATATTTTTAAAGTAGTTATTTGTTAGACCCTACTAATAATTTCCCCGTATGGAATTATTCACACACAATCAAACAGCTAAAAAAAAGAAAAAGGAGATTGAAATTGAGGACAACCCACATAAATAAGTACGTGTCCTGATTACATATATATATATATATATATATATATATTATTTGCTAAATAATTTGCCACCATCTTCAATTCATCAATTTTATTTATCCAGTTTTAACTTCAAATATGCAGTTGCTACGGTAATTTTACTCCAACTATAACTCTATTTTTCACTATTATTCTTTAAATATTTATTTTTTCCTATTATTTTAAACAATTTTTTATTTTTATAATTTAAAATAAAATTTTAAAAAATTTGAAAAAATAAAATCAAATTTTAAAATCAAATTTATAATTTTAAAAATTAAATAAATTAAAAAAATAATAACACAACGCAAAAAGAAAATGGCATTGCTACAGTACAACACCAAAATTGGTTGGCGTTGCTAGCTAATTTTTTACGTTGAATTTGGCGTAGGTTGAAGACATGGCGTTGGGTTGGAGATGGCCCGTCTGATTGTGCCCCACTGGCTGGACCGCCTCATCCTTTTGTTATAATTATTCTATGGGTTTGTTTCTTTTATTTTCAAAATTCATGTTTCTATTTTTGGATTTTGCGTTTTTTAATTTTTTTTTTTTTTTTGAAATATCGTACTCATTCCTTTTTAATACAATAGTCTTATTTATCATTTTTGTCTGTTTCAAAACAATAATCTCATTTCCATAAATACTCATATTACCATAAAATTATTTTTATATTTTCATTATTATTACACAAATGTCACTACTTTTTACACTAATATACTCACAAGAGCAAAGAAGTTTTTACTCATATTTTTTACCAACTATCATTATAATATTAATATTTTTTAAATCTCGTGTCTTACTCAAATAAGATCATAATTTTGGAACAGAGGGAGTATTATACATTACTTTAATATCAAATTTAAACAATTTTTTTTCAAATTAAATAAAAGAAATATATACATACTTTCTCTGTTCTAATTTAAAGAGTTTTTGGAGTTTTGTAATAAATTAAAAAATTACTCCCTCCGTTCTAATATAATAGCCCTGTTTATCATTTTTGTCCGTGCCGAAATAATAGTTTCATTTCAATAAATAATCATATCACTGTAAAACTACCTTTACTTTTTCATTATTATTACACAATTGCTGCTACTTTTTACACTAATACACTCACAAGGGCAAAAAAAACTTTTACCCGTACTTTTTACCCACTATCAATATAATATCAATATTTCTTAAATCTCGTGTCAAACATAGACTATAGTTCTGAAACGGATGGAGTATTTTATTAGTTAGTAAAAATATGTAAGAGTTTTTGAAATTTTTGTTCCCTAACTTATAAAGTAATTACATGTGTAATGGTATGCTTGCAATTTAAATAAAAATTAAAGATATTTTTATATTAATATATGATTACTTTTTTCTAATAGAAAATAAATACTTTGATGTAAGACCGAAAGCACATCGAATTGGAATGGATAAAATATAGATATATATATATATTAATAATTTATGTAATACTATACTATAATTATTTTCCTGAATTAAATTAAGTTTAGGTCTAAAGTAGCTGTTATTAAAATGGGCCGAAAGTCCACTAATATATGGGCTAGTTATTGGTGAGCATATGCATATACAGGAATTTTGGTCTTAATAACTTTAATATTTCCTATATCCAATAAAATTAGGTCACTCCCGTTGGAAGATTAAAAAAAGATAAATATATTAGTAAAAAGTTACAAAAGTATAAAAATAACTTGGGGGTATTTATAAAAATTTAGTTAAAAATGTAATGATACTTTTTATAAACAATTGTTCAATTTATTATTAAAATTAAATATTGATTTATTAATTTTATGAAAATTTATAATGAGATAAATTTAACGAACAAACCAAAATAAAATACGAATAAATTTGATGGATTGGGAGACTATAAAATATTATCATTTTTAAAATAATGAATGTGAAATGAGATAGCAAATAGGAGATTCTGCATAATTTGTCCCTATTTTTTTATTTTCGTCTGTCCCACGTGACTTGTCCTTTCTATTTTTGGAAATATAATTATGTACTTTAATCGCATTTTAAATTTTAGATTTTATAATTTTCTTAATTTTAATTAAATTATTTACTTATTTTAATCTTAATCTATAATTATTTTTACTAATACACTTCTTAATTACTTACTAATTATATTTTATCTAAATTCTCGTGTCTACACTAATACGCGCATATTACATGGGATGGAGGGAGTATGATATATGATCTCAGTTGGCTACTTCTTTTGGACATTATAGTTGACAATAATCACATTAGAATATTTGTTGTAATTATTACATACAACCATGCATGTGTGCATACATATGATGTGATTTTTATATAAAAAAAAATATATTAATATAATATTTTTTAAAAGAAAAATAAGAATAATGCCAAACACCTTAAATATTTGATTGTTTTGTGTTATGTTTTGAAGGGATTTTTTTTTTTTTTTTTAATAAGGTATGGAATAATGAGTGTGTATAATATATTATTGTTTTTAAAAAAATATATGTTAATTTTTTATTTTTTATTTTTGAAAAAAAACACCCTAAACACATTGTCTAAACAAAGCAACGTTCTTTTAGGATTACGACAGCACAATCAATTTTTTATGGACAACTTCCAATGGTATACTTCTTTGCACAATCAATATAGATTTTTCATGGACAACTTGCAATGATATTTATATAAAAATTATACAAATATAAAAATATTTTTAAAATTAAGTACAATAATATAAAAGATAAATGTCACTTTCGTTATTGAACGGAGAGAATTATAAACTTTGTTACAAAATGGCAAGAGCTGTAATGAAAGCTTGTTGAAAATGGCTCCAAGAACAATTCATTGTAAACTTAAATTTGTGTCATGGAGTATCAGCATGTAATAATTAGGGTATTTTGAATTTAAATTTTTAATTAAAAAATTGTTCTTTTTTATTTTTTCACATCATTTTCCATAAGAAAAAAAAAAAATTATTATTCCATCCTATAAAATATATAAATAAATAACAATATCGTAAGTTCCAAAAATATAAATACAATTCTAATAATTAATAACAAAAATTATATGAGATCTAAAACACTAAATAAATAAATAAAAACACCTAAATGATGAGTAAGTATGTGAAGACTAGAATTAGAGTGGGTGGCTATAATGAATTAAATTCCTAAATGTAGTAGTAGTAGTAGAGGTCATATAGCCACCTGTCTTCACTAAACATCACAATATATATATATATATATAATTAAACTATTCATCATCATCCTTAATTTCTTCCGCTACAAAAAATTAATGTATTTGTATCCGTTCCTAAATTTTACGTAACTAATGTAATTCCATTCATATTTCCGTCTCTAATGTCATTAGTAACGGAAAAAATAGATTTAGAGAAAAAAAATTTTGTTACAAAAATAATAATTTTTTTTTTTTTTTTTGTAGTGCCTCTTAATGGTTGGATTGAATGGCAATAATGTTTCTTTAGACTAAAATTAAAATCTCATCCAAATAATCAAAGAAGAAATTTATTTACTAATAGAAGAATTTATTTCGTTACTTTATGTAGAATTTCAAAATTTTATATTATTAACAATGAAATCAAGAATTATATATAAACAATCGTACATACTAAAAATACTTAAACAATAACAATATAATCAAATAGATATAACGAAATAATATATACCACAAATCAAATATCTCAATATCCCATTTAGTTAAACCCCAAAAGTGCAATATAAATTAACTGGAGTTTGTCGAAAAAGATTGAAACTTACGTAACTAACATAAATCAATTTGGGTTCGTTGAGAGAGATAAAAAAAAAAAAAAAAAAAAAAGAAAAGAAAACTGTTAACCAACATCATCCATTGGGTCAGTCAAAATCAAAGGACTCCAAATACAATATGTTATACTCTTTTCTTCTGTTCACAAGCTAATATATATATATATTTTTTATTTAAAATGTCAAACAACTATTTTCATACTTCTTTCATTTTAATTCAATGGGATCTTTTGGAGTTTTTGTAGGAGATTAAAAAATAGTATTAGTATTTTATTGGTTAATAGAAGTGTGTAAGAGTTTTTGACATTTTTGTCCTTTGACTTTACATATAAAGTAATTATATGTATAATATTATGTTTGTAATTTAAATTAAAATTAAGGATATTTGATATTAATATATGATTATTTTTTTAAAAAAAATAGGAAATAAATATTTTGAAATGGTACTTTGAATTAGGATGGACTTCAAATGGTAAACTTGTCAATTCACCGGATCAATATATGTCATCGGCAAGATCGAGGAATCAGAGTTTGAACCCATAACCTCATGATCATGTATTCATTCTCACACCACCAGGTCATCTCTTACGGATTTATATAAATATAAATCTTTTTTTTTTTTTTTTTGATAACGTAGGAACCTACAACCGCTACTCGAAAGTGCGCACTGGGTAAACCCCCGGCCGAACCTAATACCCTGCAAATCAGGCTCAACGAAAAAGCTACATTATGCGAACCATGTATGACAGGTGACCTGAGACGTCGGGGGTTTGAACCCATGACTTCACGGTCACAAGTCCAACCCGAAATATAAATCTTCTTGTTTTGTGAACTTATGGTTCATGTGATGCCTAATGTTTTGTATGGACGCATTTACATATTGAATTCCGCAAATATACCAAACAAATCCCCCAAGTCAATACTTAAGCAATTAATTAACCACAAGCAAGTTTAGTTAATGCTTACCTAGTCTGCTTATTACACGTATACCCTAATTCATCTTCACATTAAACTCAATATATGACCTACATAATTAACTTGAATCTCTCTCTCTCTCTCTCTCTCTCTCTCTCTCTATATATATATATATATATTGAATGTATGTATATTAGAAACGCGATTGAGATGAAAATGATGAGCGTGAAGGCAAAAAGTGTCCGGACAAACATCAAAAGGAGTTGCTGTAATAAAGCCTACAGGTTCTTGATAAGCATCACTGTTTCTGGGAGCGCCGGACCGATTAGGTTTGTCGTCCATGGCGACGATACTTCTAGAAGAGTGATCGAGATGGCTCTCAAAATTTATTCGCGTGAGGAGAGGCTCCCGGTTCTCGACTCCAATAATTTCGACAGCTTCTTTCTCTACCCGGCCACCGCGGCATTCGACGGTATTGGTATCAATCAACACACGTACATATTTATTGTTAGTCCTAAAAAATTTGACCATGCATGTTTGTTCTCAATGGTGTATTTTTAATACAATATTATATTTTTAATTAATATAAATATTGTATCTAATAGTAACTATTTTACGTTCATGTTAAATATCTATTTTTACTATTTTTATTATTGTAATAGTTTAAACACAACATAAATTATTGTAATAGTTTATCGATCCATTTATTCGAAAGGTACTCATAATTTGTTGTTTCCGATCATTCAAATATAAAATATATATTTTATTTTTTAATTAACATGAACTTAAAAATTAATTATAAAGATTTTCAAATTTATATTTATTTACATAAATATTATTATATTAATATATATATATCAAGAGGGGGATATATATTCTTTTATATATAAAAACTACTATTAATTATCATTAAAATATAATATTTATCGAAGTATCCGTCAAAAGTAGACAACATACATCTTGAGGAGATAAGGAGTTTCCTATATTTCTAAAATAATTACGACATTTTCGATCAAAATAGTGTCTTTCCATACATCGATTTTTAAGGGTTTTTTTTTTTTTTTTTTTTATTGCAGCATTGGAGCCATGGGAGACGATAGGATCTTGCTCCGAATGCCGGAACTTTGTGCTTTACCAGAAGCCGGAGATGAGGATGTCGGGAGGCCGGGGAAAATCAAATCCATGGCGATCATGGCTGAAGAAATCCTTTAGCCCCAAGATCATACCAAGGCTACTTAATTCATTTCAAAAAGTATAAATGCATGAAGGGTATATATATATATATATTATAGAACTATTCGAAAATTTGTACAATTTCACAATGGTTTTTTTTTTCACCCACACACTCACGTACCATAAGGAATGCCGAGAGAGTGCTCAACCACTTGAACTATAATCCGTAAGCCTTAGCCATGATTAGTTTTGAGCAAAGAGGAATGTCATTTTCCATTTCTTTGGTGGATGCAAAGGACTGTTCTTAATTAAGATCCAATCAATTGAGGCTACTTATAGGGTTGGCCCTCATCAATCAATTTCTTGTTTACTTTGTTTTGGGATCAAGTGGCCATCCATTTGTGTTATATACACACATAAATATATATATAGATATAATAGCTAATTTTTTAATATATTTTTATACATATTCCAACATATGTTGTGTTATAAGATAACATATACTGAATTATAATATAATATATATATTGTATTATAAATATGTTAAGATACATATAAATATATATTGATCACCCCTACAGTATATTTTGATCCAATCAAATCAGTATGATCAGATCAACTACTGATCCATGCTCATATTTCTACACCTACTTGATTCAATCCCTTACATATATTAATCAAATAATCTAATATTTAGTAGATGACATACATAACATATGTTGATTCATATTATATAAATATTGTACTATTCTATAACCCTAGGGTGTGATTGCTTGTACCAATTGAAAGTTCAAATTTGTTTTTTAGTAAATATTGTTTTCTTGTAAGTTGAATTATAATGTTTATATATTTAATTTAAAATAAAATTTAATTTGGTTTTTACTATGAATATGATTTTGCTTATATATAATTATTTTAAAATGATAGAAAAACTTTTAAGGTATATAAACATATTTGTTTATTTAAAAAATAGATAGAAATATGATAATACAAATAAGTCATATTTTTTTAAAAAATTAGAGAAATAGTTGATATGGAAAAAGATAGAAGTATAATGTCAACTCCTATTTTAATTGCTAAAAAAAATAGACTTTTATATATTAAATTATATTGAGTCGGGTTTTTCCTTTTCATTTTATTTACTGTTAGAAAACATAAGTTGTGTTATTTTAGCATTTAGAATTTTTTTAAAAATTTTTATTTGTTATTAAAAATTATGAAAACATTATTGAAATTCATAAAACTATTATTGAAATATTTATCTTTTTGATTTTTTATATATTATTAAAAAAATAATAAATTTTTATTGAGAATGATGCTAGGGTTTTGTGAAAGTAAAGTTTGGTTGATGTATACAAAATGATATACGTTAATGTATCAAAATACTAAATCTATTTGAAAAATATATCAAAGATTTAGATTGAACATCCGATTGTGCGATCAAAATAACGTTACGATCATGAGTCCATCACACACCACCAGATCATTTTTTACGGACTACAAAAAAAGACCAAATTTGAAATCAAAGAACTAACGTCGGACTTATACAAGCTAAGAATATAATATTTGATTGTCAAAAGTAGCGAGGTTTATTCAATTTTATGTTATATGTGAACTCGAGATTGTTGAATTCACATAATTAGTATTTTTCTACAATTTATTTATGAAATAGTGTTAACGGGATCTGGATTAATATTCCCCAAATTAGATTATTTATAGTTGAATTGAGTCAATAAATTTGTTTCGCATATTTTACATTTAATTAAGATTTTCACTATGTTAATATGATATGAGAACAATTTATATATTTTACATAAAAATTCGATAAGTTCGATTGTTGGATATCTTTGGGCATGCAAATATTTGACCGCACTCTGAAAAAATTTTACTATGCATTACAATTTTCTATGAAAATATATTATTTTTTCAAAAAAAAAAAAAAACCGAACAACTATTTGAGTGAAAAACACAAATCACAAAATCAAAATCAAACACAGTAAACACCCGTTAATATAGTTTAATATACATGTGTTTATATATTAATTATTATTTGAATTATAATTATAAAAGAAACCATGCAAATATTTATTAAAATAGCGTATGATATTTAAATAATTGAAGTCAAATAAGTTATAAATACTTAGTTATGTAGCTAATTAACTAATTAAAGTTTTACTAAATCATTTTTATCTTCCTATATGTAAATTGGATTGACTTTCAAAGATTTGATAATCAAATCAAATCAATGCAAGATTTACTTATATATAGAGTTTGGATGAACCTCTGAGTTAAAGAGAATTTTTCATTAAAAAAAATAAAAAAATTGAATGTGTTCACTTAATATTTTTTTTAGATGATACAATTTTTTATAAATATTATTAAATATAATATACATATATAATAATACAATATATAGAATATATTCACTTACAAAAAGTTAAAGAACTATATATAAAATAATATTTTTATATTATCGATACAATTTTAATATCTAACGTAAAAAGATATATTTATCTAAAAACAAAAACTAATTTGTTTATAGAGTTTGTGTTTTGAGATTGAATTTTGAATAATATAATTTTAAATTGAAATACTTGTTTCATTTAATAAGATATTTTGAGTATAAAAATTATTTTTAGTATAATATAATAAAAAATAAAAAAGTTTAAATTTGAATATGTTTGAAAAGAAAATTTATATGAATAAGAAAAATTTACAAACAAATATAATCAATTATTTTATATTCATATATCTTATTCACCCTTATTCATATTCTTCATTCTAAATTAATATACTATGACTTTACGAATCAATCTTTTCTACATTAATATAATTTTAATAATTTCAATATAACTATTTCAACAATATAAAGAAAACCCACAATGTGTAAATCATTCAATAACTTTTGATTACTTAATTATTTTTATTATTAGTGTTTTTTTAATAGTAGGTTGAATACTTTTGCCTGTGATAGAAATATATTTATTTTTATAATAAATCATATTTTATATATATTCATATCTGAACAAAAGAAATTGAATTAAATCAAATCAAATTTAATTTAATTTTTGTGTGTGATTAATTATTGACAGCTCATGTTGAATTAATAATCACAAGTATATATCTTTAACCTTTTACCTAAGCACAAAAATAATTGTCTTGAAAGTTAACAATTTATGGTAGTTATCTTATTTAAGAGATTCGTATGATTTTTGTCTTATTTAGACGGCTTATATATCACTATAAATATGTACATATTCTTATGATTGAATAGAGAATTTCAATTTCATATTCAAACATCGAATATATACGTGCTCATTATCACTATAAATCCATTGATAATATCATATATATATATATATATATACCCATAAATTAAAATTCTTTTTTACTTTATTATTATAGTGTGGCTTTGGATCTGATGCTAAGATTGATTTAAAATCCAATTAAGCATCCACGGAATTAGGTTTCAAATTATTAATAATTTATTGAAAATTAAACGCATAATTTTTATAACTTTACTATTAAATACTCTCTCCGTTCCAGATATTATGTCCACGTTGCTGTTTATGTCCGTCCCACGTACCATGTCACTTTCCTTTTTTGAAAAATAATTACACACTTTAATCTCATTTTAAATTTTTTAATTTAATTTTTTTTAAATTTTAATTAAACTAATTAGTTATCTTAATTTTAATTTATAATTATTTATATTATAGGATAATTATTTATATTATAAGATAATTATTTTCACTAATACATTCTTAATTATCTACTAATTATACCCCTCTTAGAATACCGTGTCTACAGTGTAGCAGACACGATATCTGGAACGGAGAAAGTAATATATATATATATTGAATTCCATACATATATATATATATATATATGATAGTGCACTAGTACAATGTTACATAACTAGTTTAAAGTTGAATATATAATATATATTGAACGATATAATAAATTATGTTTATTGAATTATATAACATCATGTTTTAGTACTCGATCAATAAAACAAAATTTAAATATATATGATTGCTCATAATTAAAAAAATAACAAGTTGGATTTGTTTTTGTCTAAGTATGAATCTTTTCAGCTTTTATGTCCTGTTCGAAGGTACAAAGCCCAGAGGGAATATAATCGAATTATTTAAATTAAATTAAAGTAATTGTACAACAATCTTTAATCTCCTTTTTCACTTTACTGAATTGGCAACACTGCATAACACACCATTATGCATGTGAAAAGTTATACATGAATATTATATATTGTATAGTTCTAAATAAATATTCGAATCAAGTCGAATACCCTATTTACCCTTCAAATTCAACTAAAATTTTTATTGTGCTAAGCTCGAATTCGATTGATTAATTCATTAAAAAATAATAATAAAAAAAGGCTTGAACTTTATACTTTGAAAAAAAAAAACAAAACAAAACAAAACAATAAGAGCCATTTATTTTGATTAATTCATTAAAAAAATAAATAAAAACAAAAAACAAAAAGGCTTGAACTTTATAGTTTGAAAAAAAAAAAAAACTACCAAAACAATAAGAGTGGTTTATTTTGAAAGATTATATTCCCTCCGTCCCAAAAGAGTTTTCTTGTTTTCTTATTTAGTAGCTGTGGTCTCCACTTTATAACAAAATTATTCATACGTTTCCAAATTACTTCTAATTATTACTCTAACCTACTTTTTAAAATCTTTCAAAAACTAAGGGCATTTTAGTCTTTTACATTCTACTTTATGTTCACTTTCAATTAAATACTATTATTCCTTAATTTTCGTGTTAACTCCCAACAAGACGTCTCTTCTGGGACGGAGGGAGTATCTATTTTTTCATTTTTGTCCGTCTCGTAACAAAGTATATATATATATATTTTTTTTTTTTAGTAACTGTACTATCTACTTAACATTATAAGGCCATCTCCAACCCTCCACTCCATTTTTGCAGTTGCTACAGTAAAAATGGAGTTGATCTACAGTAATTTTACTCCAACCATAAACTTTAATTTTTTACTCTAAAAAGTATATTCCCTATATATTCCTCTTTTATATTATTTTATATAACTTTTCATATCTATAAATTACACCCTAACTTTAATTTATTTTTATATTAGATCCATACACATATAATTTATAAATTATTTAAAAATTACATATATAAAAATTAACATTTATAATTAATAACTAGTACAAATAAAATAATTTTAAATAAATAATTAAATGCTATCAAGACAAATATGATCATAATAATTACACGTTAATTTAAAAAATAAAATTACATATCAATTTTTAAAAAATAAAAATTATATCACTTTTCAAACAGTAAAATTATATATCAATATAAAAAATAAAATTATATATTACTTTTCAAAAACTAAAATTATATCACTTTTAAAAAATAAAATTATACATTATTTTTCAAAAAAAATAAAATTACATACAACTTTTTAAAATATAAAATTATATATCATATACTAAAAAATTAAAATTACACAATATACAAAAAAATACCAAAAATATAAAAAACACCAAAAAATCTCCACTCCAAAAATGGAGTGGAGCAACAGTGTTACTCCATTTTGGAGTAACACTATGGATTCCTGCAAAAATGGGGGTGATTTGGGGGTGGGTCGGAGCCCCTCCCCTCATTTTTGGTACATGCAGTGGGTTGGAGATAATCTAAATACCCTTACAATTTACAATATATTACAAAAATGTCATTACTTTTATATCACACAATATTAATAATGTTAAGTTAGTCATTTCTCTTTTATTTTTACTATATCCCAATATACTACTAATATTTTTAAAACTCCGTGCAAAATATAAACGAATATATAGATATGAGACATAGAGAGTATTATAATTTATAAGATTATTTTAATAAATTATACTCCCTCCGTCCTACACATAAAGTATACAATTACTTTTGGCGCGGTGTTTAAGAAATAATAGTATATTAATTATAATGAGTAGTTAAAAGTAGTGTAATGATATTTTTGCTCTTGCTTTTTTGTATAAAAGTAATTAATAAAATATGGGTATTTGTGAAAAAAAATAAGTTATTTAATGAAATGTTTACTTTCTAATTGAACGTCCCAAAATAAAAATATGTATACTTTCTACCTGGATTGAGAGAGTATAATTTTGTGATTAAGTAATATGAGTATTTATTTTATTTGATTAAATATATAATAACATAAATTTTAGTATAAAATAATAATAATAATAATAATATTTTATGTATTTTTAAATTTATATCCATATTTTATTTTTTTAAATAATATTTTAAACAGGTAAAGGTATTAATTAATTAGGGTGTGTTTGTTTGGGAGTTTCGATTTTGGATTGAGATTTAAATGGTAAAAATTTTGAATTTGAATAGTTGTATAAAGTGATATAAATAGGTGTTGATGTGATATTTTGGATGTAAATTTAATTTTTAGTATAATATAAAAAATAAAAAATAGGTATTTAATTTGATACTTTGGAGAAAAAAAAATTGGATTTAAATTCAATCCTCCAAACAAACACACCCTAAAAGGACAAGTTTTGGAGTATTAATCGCATCGTATCATCATTGGCTGATGATTGACACGTGTCTCATGACGCCTTGAGATGTAGACAACAAAGATTCTCTCCAATTGCCTTCACGTGCCCTTCTTCACCATTGTCCAATAGCAAATGGACAACATTTCCCCAAACAATCATTATATCTCACTATTTAATAATTTTTATTTTATTGATAATGCCTACTTGTAAATTATTTAACACATCCATCGATGCCAACAGTGGACCCACTACTACAACATAGTATCACTCATTATATATATTTATTATTTTTATATTATTTATATAATTTTTTTATATTTTACATTAAAAAAAATATTACTTTAAATTATTTACATAACAAACACGTCAAAAGTTTTTATATTGCTTCATTTGTAAGTTTTTGAGGTTTAATGAAGTTTCTTATTTTGGATAAATCATACCACATGACGAATGTTTACTGGTCGCAATTATTCCAGTGTGTTTCTTTTGTATTAAATTTTTTTAATATTTAATATGATATTTTATAAAAATATATATTTTTTTTAGTAAAAAATTAAATAAAAATCACACCTAGAACTCTCGAAATAAATTAATCTATTGAATTGGACCATATCATTTTTAAACTCGTGGGTTGACTCACCTCATCATTTATCTTGACAATTCTGATTTTGAATCTTATTATTTGTATAATATATAAAATTTTATAAAAATTAAATTAGATTATTCAACAATATGCATAAATCAAATCAAAGAATTAAACCCATCCCACTATAGTCCGCCCGTCAGTGCATTTTGATAACTTTAGTCTCGTGACTATGATTTAATATTCACAAAAGTATGTGTAATGCATTAAGAGTGAAATAATAATAATAATAATAATAATAATAATAGTAATAATAATAATAATAATAATAATAATAAACCAATAAATAAATAATAAGTGGTTTAAGGGAAATTAAGTTTGAATTAATGTTATAATAATATTATCCAACAAATCAAGAAAGTAAATATGAAATGAAGAAAGAACAAACCCGCCTTGCGTCTTGCTCTATATTATTATTATTATTATTATTATTTCATGGGAATCCAAACTATACATAGTACTCCCTCCCTCTCGCGAGTGATAGAACCTTTAAGTTAAACACGATTTTTTAGGTAGCTTAAATTAGTAAATTATTAATAATAAATTATGATATTAGTTTATTATTTTTTATATAAATAATGTTATTGGTATTTTACAAAATTTTAAGATTATATCTAAAAAAATGTATGCAATATAAATATCAATTTTTTATAGATAATAAAATTTTATATAATACAAATAAAATTTTTTATATTTTTATTTATTTATTATTACCATAAATTAGTTTTATAAAAAATGAGAAGTTTTAAATATAGATAAAAAAAATATGTTAATTGAGGAGAGATATAGAAATAAAGGGATTTTGAGTGGGTTGTAAGACGTTAGAAGTTTAATAAAATTGATTTATATTTGTTAAGTATGTTTAAGATCGATAAAGTTATAAAAATTGAAATGAATTATCTTTTGTGGGGAGTACAAAAAATAAATGAATCATCTGTGGGTCGGACCGAAAAAGTATTTAATTAATGCACTTACTATTAAACAATTCCCTTTCCCTCTCTCTATAAAAAAAAGGGTCTTGACTGTGAAATTAATTATGCCTTCAAATCGGATCATTTCACACTAAGTCATTTCTAAAGGTATGCCTTTTTATTAAGCACTTAATTCTTGATCTTAATTAGCTTCTTCAAATTACCTTGCTGCTGCTTCATTGATGCATAAGTTAATTTGATTAATTAATCCTGCAAAGAAACACAACAAGAACAAGAACAAGACCAACAATTAAGAACAGGAAACCCTAAATCTTGATGGGGAGGGGGAAGATTGTGATCCAGAGAATCGACAACTCTACTAGCAGACAAGTGACGTTTTCCAAGAGGAGAAGTGGGCTGTTGAAGAAGGCCAAAGAGCTCGCCATTCTCTGCGATGCACAAGTTGGATTAATGGTCTTTTCCAGCACTGGAAAGCTCTATGAATTCTCAAACACCAGGTACTAATTATTCTGTATATATATATGTATATATAATATGTATATCTCTGTGTGTGTGTGTGTGTGTGTTTGTGTTAATTAGAAGGTATTATTAGTACATGATAAAATACAGTTCTGTATGCTTCAAATGCAAGAAGAAGAAGAAGAAAAAGAGTTAGTTCAGATAACAGCACTAACACAGATCCAACAAAACCCTAGCAAGATGTTTTCAATTTATGGTACTTTGTATTCCAATCGTACGTACGTTGGGACAGTATTATGTGTCTTAAGGAATAGATACATCCCTATGTATGTATGCATAGTTTATGATTCTCTAAAGTTTTTTAGGGTGTGTTTCTTTTAGTTGATTTTGGGAAAATAATATTTAATTTGATGTATTATAAAAAATAATAAAAAAATTGTATTTTTTTTTTCGAAAAATGCAAAGTTCAAATAGTAAAATTCAAAAAAATTGATACAAAGAAACATACCTTAATCTCCCTTTTTCTTCTCATCTTTTCCGCTAGTCATCGTATTCTGATATCAAATCCACCCAACTTTACTCTCCAGACAGTAAGTGGAAAGCACTGTGGAATATAGTCTTCAAGAATTATAGTACCATGTTTTGAATGAATTCTTTTATAGAACAATGTGAAGAAACTAAACTAGAGCAGTCCTTAAAACCTATAATTATATATAATTAATTAATCTTAATTAACTATGGCATAAATACTTCCTAAAATTGAACTCAAAATAATAGTTTTTTAATTAAATATTTATTTTTATTTAAAATATTTTTCTATGCAAAACGTGAAAAATGAACTCAGCTTTATGTCTTAGATTCTTAGAGGATTCAGAGTCGTCTCACCAATATTTTGATCTTGACACCTAAAATTGCCATATGGAGAAAAATGGATATAAGAGCAATTAAGAATAAATTAAGCTCAAAACACATTAATGATGGATAAAAAATACATAAATATATCAAAAAATCTGTAGAAAATCAGTTGAATGATGCATTCGATACAAGCAGTATTTAGCATGGGTTTTCCACTGTGAAGGGACTGCAGTGGATTTACCAAAGATCTATTTGCTCCAATTTAATTTCTCTAGATTTGCATATTTTTTTCAATACTTAAATAATGCGATTAATTTCTTATTAGTGCTATTTACCTTCAATATTATTTTGAAAGCCATATACGTAGCATCACTTTCTCCATTCTTCTAATGTGTTCACAGGTATCTTTTTGATAATTATATATAGCAAAGACATACCTAAATACTAGTTTTGTGTCCTATTCTTTTTTTTTTTTTTTTTTTTTTTGTCATATTGAATATATTGTCTGCTAGGATATGAATTTTGAATATGAGAAAGCACTCAAAGAAGCATAGCTTACCAAAGTTAACTTAGCCGTAAAGATGTAGGTTAGATCAATTATCACTGGGAATAACATGATCACATAAACATATGATATTAATAAAAACAAGTTGTGTGAGAGTAATACATATGATGAAAAAAATCATATTCTAGATAGTTAAAATTCAAAATATAAAATATTTTATTTATGATGATTATAACAAATATAAAATCTGAAAAACACATTGATTTCGTTAATAGATAAACTTTTACTATAGAAACTAAAGAATAAACTGATGTTGGATGTTTTATTTTAAGCTTATTTACCCGAATATTTATGTTGTCTGTCTTGTTTTTTCAAGTCAGTGTTGTTGATATTCACGACTAGAGTTTCAGCAATATTAACTTCCTTACCATACATTCTTGAATATCAGCATGAAATCAGTTATTGAACGTTACATTAAAGTAAAGGAGGAACAACACCAGATGCTTAATCCTGGATGTGAAAGCAAGGTATGATTCTACCCTTTGTTAAAAATGTTACACTATTGATTCTTCCAGTTTAGTTCCAATCTTTCAAACATGCATCCATGATGTTTTCAATAGTCACCCATCTTTTTCCAGGTGTAATTTAATCGGCAATAACATTGTCTGAGATATTTATGTGGTAATTATTTCCGAACATTTCCATTACAAACTATTTTCTAAGTAGAATATCAAAGCTGTAATTTCATGTGTAAGCATTTATAAAAAGAATGTAAACGCCTAAACTTAAGGTAAACTTGAGTAATATGACGAAACATTAGTGAATCTAAAAGTGGTTGAGGACTTAATCAGGTGACTAGAAATCAGGCTAAGGTTCATTATTTTCAATCCCTCGATAAACTTGTCATTTATAACTACTCCACTTGTGAGGTTCTTCTAGTAATACTATGGCTTGGTTTGTCCAACTACTTTTGTGTATGAGATTATCTAACTACATTCAGTTGCAGCAAGACAACCTATCTAAAGAAACTATTTTCATTCAAGCTCCTCTTTCTACTTATTCAGAAAGGTGTCTATGACCAATCACAATCAGTTTATGATACCATTGTAATATAATTACATGAGGTGAATTTAGTAGACCATCTATCTAAACATAGATAATAAGATAATCCATGTAATAGTGTGTATTCAATGATCTAAAGATGAGTTTTGATTTTATCTTTCCTCAATTACTTCAATGCGACTAGGTGTTGCTTCATATCATTTCCATAACATCCTAATATGTTGTATATGCTTTGTACCAATCAATGAAACAAATATATTACATATATATAGCATATAAGAACTAAAGAAAGATAATTTCTCACTAATATTAGCTAATGATTCCCAACCACACCAGAAACTCAACCAAAAACTCAAGTGATTTAGAAGAATTGTATTTCCGATTGCTACACCTTATTTGGGCTTAAAAGGTTTTTAGCTATTGTTAAATCTCATGTTCTTGCATCATCATATGTAAGTGGATCTCAACAAGTAGAGAAGTTGTGAAAAATCCATCAAGTTGTGTACAGTACAGTTCCATTAAAGGTACAATATTTTGGAATACAAAAATAAAATTCTCAATGAAGTATAAGAGCATAAGATCATCTTAAATCCTAATATGCGTACAGTTATGCATCTGTGAGTAGATGAATAAGTTGACTTCGTAAAGATTTATGGAAGCATTAATTCGTTTTTATGTATTTTTGTGATGTATATGTTGTTCTTTTGCAATTTTCTTACATGACATTTTCACTTGTATTTTCTAGTTTTGGCAACAGGAAGCAGCTTCTCTAAGGCAACAATTACAGAATTTGAGAGAAGATCACCGGTAAGCGAATAACTCATGATTTAGTCTGTATTATGATATATGTATATAGTATACCACGTACTACTTAAAATTCCTGTATTTTCCATCTTGATACCAGGGAAGTTATGGCAGAGTAATCTTGATTATCACAATCTAGTGTGCCGACTGTATACACAAGCTTTTCTTAAATTCTAGAACTCTGAAGCATGCGTACACAATAACATGTCTCTAGTCTTGCATTCAAGTTAACATACAATATAAGACAGGAAAATGATGGGAGAAGAACTCTATGGGCTGACAATCACTGATCTACACAGTTTAGAAACTCAACTTGAATTGAGTTTGCAAAGGATGCGTGTTAAAAAGGTTAGATAGTCCCATATTATCCATGGAACGAGCTTCTAATTAGTTCTTGGAATAGCTCTTATGGAACATCAATGTGCATAAAACATCATTAAACTACGGATTTGTGGTGTTTTGTTTTCACAGGAGCAGATATTAACCGACGAGATCCAAGAGCTGAATAGAAAGGTATGTCTAATGAGCATCCAAGAACAAAACATAAACAAAGAAATGTCAGCTATTACCATCACAATGAACTTATAGATTACTTGTCTGGACTTCTTTTAGGGAAATCTTATCCATCTCGAGAATATTGAGCTTTTTAAGAAGGTAATCAAATTCATGGAGCAATTAAAATGTATAGAATTGTAATGTAAGGCGTTGCGGCAAAGTGGTTACTTAGATAAAACATATATGGAATCTTTGGCTTTACCTGCACTAAGCGGTGTGGAATAGGTTTATGGCTCAAGGGACTTCGGTACAACAAATGGACATGGATTTCTTCCATTCGATTTCACAATTAGTACAGATCACAACCAACCAATCCAGCTTCAACTACACCACCCTGTAACCCAGAATATCGAGACTCAAGCAAGAGCAAGGTATAATAATTTCTGATTCGTACAAACAGAGAAGAGAATCATTGAGAATTACCAGCGGTCCGAGCTTTCTTCTGCAAAAACAAATGCTCCTTTAAAAAAAAAAAAAACATAACATTTAATTGATTTTCACCAGGAATGAAGATAAATAAGCAGAAGGAATTGCAGTAGCTACTTGAAGTTTAAAGTGCATTTGAAAAGTTCTTACGGTTTCATGTCTTTGAACTGCTTTTGAATATAAAAATTCAAGTGCATTTAGTTTACATACTCTTTCCCTATCCTTAACAAAGACAATCAACAAACAACCAACAACAGAGGTGAAGACTATGGCACAAAGTAATTTGTACAGACAAACAATATATATATATAATATTAATTCTTTTGAAAATTAATGTTCTCCTGTCCATTAGGGGTTGGATCCGAACCTCTCTAATGGCAGAATATGATTTGTGCATGAGAAATTCGTTGAAAAGCAAACGAGCTAGATTGAGTTGATTTGAAGGATAAAACAATGTTAGGAAGATGAAATCGAAATCCAATGGCGAACCTTGAATTAGGGTTTTGTAACAAATTTAACGCTCGCAAGCAGATGCAGTTGTTGAATTAATTAGTGGGCCCAATTCCAGTTAAAGTCGCTACATAGGTGCCTTCACTTGTAAATGTGCTTCAACTTTTTTAAAAATATTATATAAATATTTATGTACATATAATTTTTATTTTATTTCAAATATTTAATATTTATTTTATTTAAAATATTATGTTCAATATTTTATTTTTTATTTAGAGTATTTTTTAAAATATTAAATTTAAAATAAAACTCACCTAATCCTTATAATTGTGTTTGGTTGTGAGTTTTGCTACAACTCTTACTATTTATGGATTTTTAAAAATATTGAATTAAACGTTATTTTTATACTATATTAAAAAAAAAATTTATATATATAATATTATAATATCAATACTAATTAATTCTACTATTAATTTATTATTTTGATATATCTACAATCAATTTATTAATTTTTGTACTAATTATACTTTTTTGAATAAAAAAACTTTTTATATTATATAATACTAAAGATCTCATTTATTTGTTGTTGGTTAAAATTTGAATATTAATTATTATATGAAAATATAATACAAAGTAAAAAAAATGACAAAAAATACGCAAAATATTATACATATATAAAAAAAATTTAATGTTAACTATGATAACACAAAAGATAAATTGACCTTTAGAATCGAACGGGGAATATTAAAAAAAAATATTATTTAAAAAAATAAAATTAGGAGAAAATTTTCTTTTAGAGTGAAATAAATGCTGAATTAATGAATTCAACATTTGCTAATTTGATTTCAACAATACAAATATATATATATATATAAATTATTGTTATAAATGTGACAGTGTATTATATCTTAGTTTTTAAGTTAATATATAAAAAGTATAGATTTAACTTTTGATACATAATAATATTGAATGAATTGTTTTGACTAAAATTAAATTTCAAAAACTTAACCACTGACTATTGTTATAACTTTTTTAGATATTTTATTTATAATTATCAATTTTTTATAAATATTTTATAAGCCATTTATTATTTTTAAATATATAAAAATTCAAACAATAGATATAATTTATGATTTTATATATATATATATATATATATTGACATCTTATGTGCCACTCTACAAGTAGGCACCAATCGTTTTCCTGTAGCTCTCAACAATAGCTTGCTTGTTCCATTTTTTATTTATTATTATTATTTTTTTTAATTTATTATTATAATGTTTAATGTGAGAATCAATAATTGTTACAATGTGTTCGAAATAAATTTATTCCGAACCTAATTGCATGTAAATTATAAAAGTAATGCTTCAACCTACAATTTGCAAAGACAAGTAGAGAAAGCAAATTGTAGTCAAAATATTACTCCCTCCGCCTCAAATAAGATGCAATATTTACTTTTGGTACGAGTTTTTAGGTGAATAGTATTAAGTAGGATAATATTACTCCCTCCGTCACAAATAAGATGCAACATTTACTTTTGGCACGAATTTTTAGGTAGATAGTATTAAATAGATAATTTAGAAATTAAGGTGATGGAGAGAGAAATGTATATTTTATTTTTTTCTTGCGAAGGGATAAAGTGTGAGAGTTTTAAATTTTAGAAATATTGCAAGATGTTTGGGACATACCAAAAAAAAATATTGCAGGATATCTGGGATGGTGAGAGTATTAGATTAAACATTAATAGATAATTTAAAAAGATAAGATATCTTCTAGATTTTTAATTTTTCTTTTCTTCTCATTATGCTTTTACTTCTTGATATATATATTTTAAAGAAATTTATATTTATTAAAAAAAAAAAAAAGTTCAAATTACTCCTTCAGTCTCTAATAAAATATTAAATAGTTATAATTAATAAGAAATTAAAAAATATATTAATAAAAGTAACTATAATATAATACAAATAATTATAAATTAAAATAATTAAATAATTAGTTTAAATTTTAAAAATTTATATATTATAAATATTTTTTTAAAATATATATAAAATAGACTGAAATAATTTTATTTTTTATTTTTTACTTTTTTAAAAAAAGACATTTTATATATTCAAAACTTAGGGGGTATATCAAAAAGCAAAACACGTCGACACCCTTACAACCTGTCCAAAAACGATATAAATAATTTAGCAATAATTTTGAGTAGCCTTGGAATCAGTTTCTTGGGAAATTTAATTCATAAAAACTAGACCAGGTCACCCTAGCTTGCAAGAAATTATTGCGACTAGTAACAACACCCACCCTGCGACTACTGTATATTCCTTCTTTGAACCAATTTGTACCAAAAACAAGAATCCAATCCAGACAATCAGATTCATTTAATTTATCTAACGAATCGCAGAAAAAGTATTTCAATCTTGCTTTCCTGATAGATCTACGCAGAGGAAAATCTCATATGATTAAAAGATTACGCATATCAGAATGAATGAACAGATGATTTGCAGCAACTTGGAAGTGGTTTAATACCAGCATTTCACACTATAGAAGGGGAGAGAAAAGTACTGTAAAACTGCAAAGGAATTTACAGAAATCCAAGCATGGAATGAAAGGAAGATGAAATGCAGATAAGTCCTATTGTTCCTGCAAATATACTGCAAAATTTATGCGGAAATCTTAGGATCAAGATGCAGAGTATTAAATAAAATTAGTGAAGGAATTTGGAGAAGGAGATCCATCCATGGCAAAGCATTTTTTAAGTTGTGTGTGTGTGTGTGAGAGAGAGAGAGAGAGAGAGGAAGAGGAATATAATCCAGAAGGAAATCACATATATACTCGAATTCTTCAAATATCCGACGGATCTGAAAAGCGATCCGGAGTTTCATACCAAAAAAAAAAAAAGCTGTAAAAGATTATTCAATTATGTACAGAGCGCTGTCGCCACCGACAATCCTGAAACGCCTGTTGAGACCGCGCATATTCATCGTCTCTGTGGCAACCGTCGTCGAAGTTCTGAGAGTAACTCACCGCATCGTACTGGAAAGTGAGCGGTTTCGGCGCCGTTCCGTAGATGCACTTCCCTTCGTTCACAATCCTCCGGAGGAGTTTCCGCAGTCTCCTGTTCCTGTTGCGACTCTTATCGTTTCCGCCGGCGATGTGGATGCGCGCGTACTCCTCGTGCACCGGTACGCACGACGGAGACATGCATCCCGATAGGTACGACGGCCGCCGGCAAGCAGTATCTCCGCCCATTCTGTTCCAATTTCTCGACTGGATTCGCGGCGGTTGTTAGCGGAAGAGGCGCACTTTATAGATTGCAGCGGTCAGTGAAACGTTGAAAAGGGCAAAGCCAAAAGGCATCCAATGTGTGGAGAGCGTGAGATAAATGCTTTATATTATCATCATTATTAATTACTATTAATTTATTATTTTTATTATTGGGTTATTTATGTGGGCCTGCATTTTATTTTCGCCAGCGCGGATAAGTACGATATAAATCAAAGTAAGTATATAATATTTATAAGATATCTATTTTTTAAATAGAAATAATACTGTGCAGATTACATAATCTACTTTAATAACAACACTGATTATTATTATTATTATAATAATTGAGATTTACTATAGCAAGTAAGATTTTTTTTTAGGCAAAACAATAAAATTTAAAATTGTTTAAAGGCGTTTCCTTTTTTGAAAAGAAAAAATTCTTTTTCCAAAAACAAGTATCCAAATATTATGAAGCTACAGCAGCGGTTCATTTTATCTGAACAGATCCTTCAAGCGACACTAATTCAAGAAAGAATCTTTATATATTTATTTATTTTTGTCCATTTCCACATTTTTAGTGAAAGAAAGCAAGAAGAAGAGGATAGGATGCCACCAAAAAAGGGTGAGAATAAATTACTACTGGTGTAGAAATGTGAATAAATCAATTTTATGCTAATATATATATATGTATGTATGTATGTATTTGTAGTGTAAGTAATAGATTCACATTCATCTCTTTTCTTCACATATTACAGAATGTATTTTGCAATGGATTCTGTACGAATCGACGTGAATTGAGTGTGTTAGTTTGGTGAATTTGTTGGTACTGTGTGAGAACATGTCACTGTTGTAATACACAAATTAGCTTCGAGTGGGGGAGGGGGTTAGCAATGGCAGAGACACCTCTCGTACTGTACTATTTAGCAGCAATGGACACGGCAGAGTTCCTGGTGGTTTAAGGCTGCCATAGCCAAATGCTAACTTCTGCTGTACAAGAAAGAGGACAGGTAATTAATTACCTGGATGGATTGAATTATTTCTTACCTCGGCCGAGCATCTGTTTATCTGGCTATGGCGATGAATTTGATTGGAGTTTACTGTGGTTTGTATTGGTCTGTGTTTTGTATGATTGGTTGTCTCCTTCTCTCCAATCAATGGAATCTTATAAACCCTAGCTGTAATGCAATTTGGGAGTGGATAAACAGAAGAATTTATGCAATCATTCCAGTGTAGTGTAGGTCGACAAATTTGAGCCAGAAGTTATTGTCGGGGTTTTCCCCACCATTCAAAACCTCGCCCACAAGGCCCATGATGTTTCCCTTTCAATGAGTTTGTCGCTGCGCATGGATTCTGCTTTGCTCAGTGATGAATTGAATAAGAGAAATGGAAGACACAATTGGCATTGGCGATGGCCATGAGAAAGGTAATGCCCACCAAGTGTTCGACGTATTGCTTGAACTGAAGAATGAGTTTGTTTGTTGGTTCTTTTTGGTTTTCGAATTAGCAGTGGGCAAAACAGGTGACATTATTGAGCTCGGAAAGGCTCAGCAATGGAAGGTATCGCTGTTTCTTTGTGCTCTTCACTACTGGTTTTCTTGAACATGAAACCCATGAATATCATTTTCTTTGAAGTTAATGTTGCAATATCTTTGTTGGATGTGTTCTGTTCCCGTTGAAAATGCATGATGATCAAGTGATTGGACTGCATCAAGTTAAGAGAATAGTTGCCTTTTAATTCACAAGTTTTGCTTTCCATTATTATTATTATTATTATTATTAATACTAATACGCGGCAATCCACAGTCGCTACACTTACAATGTGGATCGAATCTAATACTTTACAAATCAAGTCTGACAAGACAAATCACACTAAGCAAATAAGTGAGGATTTGAATCCATAACCACAAGGTCACAAGTCCAAACTCCACGTCATCGTACCTCCTTATGGAATGCTTTCTACTGTTACTTTGATCCTTGTACATTAGGGGAGGAAAGTGTTTTTTTTTTACTCCCTTCTTTGTTGTTAAATTTAATTTGATTGGAAACAATATCCAAAGCCAAATTTAGCGGAGCTGAGGGGGTTTCCTCTCGGGCAGACCCATTTTCTTTTTCTTTTGGACGGGCAAAAAATCTATAAACAAAAATTGTGTTAATATTGTAAATACAAAATTTTGTACAAATTATATTTAATTTAATTTATGTTGATCCTATTTTTCATTTAATTTTTTTTATTCTTTTTATGTGTGATTCAATTTTTCATTTGAAATTGGATGCTTCTTTGATCTTTAAGATATTTGATCTTCTGTTTGATTTTGTCGAACTTTGGAGAGCTTTGACATCGTAGACAAATTTGATTCTCGAATTTGAATTTGAATTTGAAAATTAAGAGGAATTTGGGACCTGGATTTGGTAATGAGCCGATTCACGTGATTGACCCCACCATTGTGTTGCCGAGGTGTGGGAGGAGCTTGTTTCGCGAAGAACAAACAACAAGATTAGGGAAATGTATTTATTACCTATCTCCAAACCCTTGTAGGCATAATATGCTGATCGTTACAAGAAGCAATTATTAAATAGTTGTGTCTTTTCAATAATGTTATAATGTAATCTAATTAGAAACAATTGAATTAGGGAAATTGAATTGGAAACAATTGGCAGCAGACAGTTTATAACCATGTGATGCTTCTCAATTCATTACCAACAATACAAGATGAAGAGCCGGGGATGGATGATCCGATCCGAATATTTCCGACCCACCCGATTCGGTTTCTGTACCCAAATTCTAGTTATTCGGATTCTTATCCCTTTGCTGTTCTTATTTGTAGCCATGGCGGCCCGGGTTCCTCTCGCTCGCGCTGTTCAATACCAGCCCGTCTGTTTGATCAAACCCTCGATTCGCAAGCCCCATTTTCTGACCTACTCCTCGTCTCTCAAATCCCGCCCTTGTCCTCTCTGGTCTTCGTCCTTCTCGCTCTGCCTCCTCCACGCTCGCGTCTACTCACGCCACCGCGCTCCTCTCAAGTCAGTCGTCCGTAGACGACCGATCTCGGCCGTCCGATCGTTGTCTTTCAAGGCTGCGGAGATGGCGGACGTTGGGACCAATCCTCTACTGAAGGACTTCTACTTCCCGCCTTTTGATGCGATCGAGGCTGAGCATGTTCGCCCCGGCATCAGGGCGCTGCTCAAGCAATTAGTACGTTTTTGTTATCTGTATTTTTTTTTTTTTTTTTTGTCGATTGGAACTTTGGAGTCGGGTTAATGGATTGGTGGAATTGTAGGAGAGTGATCTGGAGCAATTGGAGAGAACTGTCGAGCCAACGTGGCCCAAACTTGTGGAGCCGCTGGAGAAGATATTGGACAGGCTGGGGATTGTTTGGGGTGCTGTTTCTCATCTCAAATCCGTCAAAGATACTGCTGATCTCCGTTCTGCCATTGAAGAAGTTCAGGTGCGTAGTTAATAACTAGGGCTTTGGTAATTTCATGTTCTGCTAACTCGTTTTCTGCTGTCTCTCTTTGCTTCACTTGATTCTTCTATTCTTTATTTTTGATAGCCAGAAAAAGTGGCATTTGAGCTTAAATTAGGTCAGTGCAAGGCAATGTATAATGCATTCAAAGCTATAAGAGAGTCGCCAGATTGGAATGCCCTGAGTGATGCTCGTAAACGGATCGTTGAAGGTAGACACTGATTTTAGATGTTTTGACAAAAACTAATGGAAGTTTTTATCTATACTGATTCGTATACATACGATGGAGGTTTATTTTAGTGTTCTATATCTGCAGCTCAAATAAAGGAGGCTGTTTTGAATGGTATTGCTCTTGAGGATGACAAAAGAGAGGAATTTAACAAGATTGAGCAGGTTTATCTTTGGCCAAATTTAGATTATCAATCCATATCAAGTTGCTCAGTCTCGTATGCTATTGACTGCTGTCGTCAATGGATAAACTGAAAAATAATGTGCAACAAGTAATATGCTTTTCTTGAATCATGGTCAAACATCCTGATATACGAAAGATAATCAAGCGGTTTGATGAAGCTTGTGAATTTCAGTCTCTGCCAACTGCCATCCCTTTTTAAATTTTGAAAGCTTCTTGATTATGCTGCGTAATTTTGTACTCATTAGTCATTATATAGAGATTCTTTAATGGTGACAACTTTGTGTCTAACTGGTTTTCTCCTTTCGAATTCACATTTAGGAATTGGCAAAACTATCTCAAAAGTTTGAGGAGAATGTTTTGGACGCGACAAAGAAATTTGAAAAACTAATAACAGACAAGAAAGAAATCGAAGGTTTACCGTCTTCAGCTCTTGGGTTGGCTGCTCAAACAGCAGTGTCCAAGGTACTTCCATTAGATGTTTAACTTTTGTGCTTATTTTAGATTTTCTGTGCTGCGGATGTTGGTCGTCATGCCTCTTTACTATCTGTACTAATTTTACTTTTCTTTTCTACTTTTAACAACAGGGACATGAAAATGCAACTGCAGAGAATGGACCTTGGGTAATCACATTGGATGCCCCAAGTTTTATGGCGGTAATGCAGCATGCTAAAAACAGGACACTGCGGGAGGAAGTCTATCGTGCCTATGTAACCCGTGCTTCTAGTGGGGATCTTGACAATACACCCATTATTGACCAAATTTTGAAGCTTAGGATGGAGAAGGCTAAGCTTCTTGGATATCAGAATTATGCGGAGGTATGGCTTGTAATATTCACGTGTATCTTTCTGGACAAACCTAAGTCTGTGGCTGTTATCAGGTAAGCATGGCTACTAAGATGGCAACTGTGGAGAAGGCAGAAGAGCTCCTTGAAAAACTTCGCAGTGCTTCCTGGGATCCTGCAGTTCAAGGTATCCTGGTTTCAGAAACTGGTTTTGTAGTTTCTATGATTCTGTATAAAAAATTGCTGTAAATTCACAGTTTCTGATGAACCATTCAGATATGCAAGATCTCAAACTTTTTGCAAAGAATCAAGGTGCTCCAGAAGCTGATTCCTTGATGCATTGGGACATCAGCTTTTGGAGTGAAAGATTACGCGAATCAAAGTATGAAATAAATGAGGTCAGGCTCTGTCGATCGCACTTCCCCATCCTTTGAAAATTACAGATTTTTGGTTGGTGATATTTGTTAGTTGTGCTTCATGTTTATGTCGTCCTTATCTTCTTAAAACTATGTGTGCGATGGTTGGATATCATTAACAGATTTTAAGTGATTTTGAAAGAACTATTCAGTGCATCTTGTTCTAGCCAAATACAGCTGTGCATTGTTATGTTCGACACAATTGTAAAGATAGCTTATTAAGTGTTTTGGTCATTAAAATATATGAATTAGTTCCTATGATTTAATGATTATCCTTCATGCAAGATTATATTGGAAAAAGTCATTGAGCATCCAATTTAACGAGAATTGATTTTGGGTGCTAGCTCTTCTGTATACTTCTCAGAGATAACTAAAATAGAGATGCAAACTTAACTGAACTTTTCAGTACTGATTAGACCTTTTTGTTGGAACAAATCCATGGTTATGGTTGTGATGTAATGCTTTCTTGCCTGTTTAACTTCTCTCTTTGGATAAATAATCCCTATGATTTGTTCGAATTCAACAGGAAGAGTTGAGACCTTATTTTTCATTGCCAAAAGTTATGAACGGACTTTTCAGCCTTGCACATAAATTATTTGGGGTCACTGTTGAACAAGCTGATGGCTTAGCTCCAGTATGTAATTCTCTCTCTCTAAAAATATACACACATATATCATCTAAGTAAGACATGCAGTGGTTTGTAACTAACAGAGATTTTGGTATCTTTTAGGTCTGGAACAGTGATGTCCGGTTTTACCGTGTCAACGATTCTTCTGGTAACCCAATTGCATATTTCTATTTTGATCCATACTCTCGTCCATCTGAAAAACGAGGAGGAGCATGGATGGATGAAGTAGTTGGTCGAAGTCGTGTCATGTCACAAGATGGTTCCTCTCCCCGGTTGCCTGTGGCCCACATGGTGTGCAACCAAATGCCACCAGTTGGCGAAAAGCCAAGCCTTATGACATTTCGTGAGGCAAGCCATGATTTCTATAATAACTTAACTTTGGCTCTTATAATTTATTAGCCTATTAGATTAGATATTGAGATTGTAGTTCTAGCAACTGATGACAGATTTATGAACCGACTGCTTGGAAAGCAACATCTCTTGAAAAGTGTGAATAAATACCAATTTCTCTATACATGTATATGTATGTTTGATGGTCATGGTCCCTGCAGGTTGAGACTGTCTTCCATGAATTTGGCCATGCTCTTCAGCACATGCTAACAAAGCAGGATGAGGGTTTGGTTGCCGGGATAAGGAACGTAGAATGGGATGCTGTGGAGTTGCCTTCCCAGTTCATGGAAAATTGGTGCTACCATAGGTAGGCTTGACTTTTTTTAATCCATTAACAATGTAATTAACCAGAGAATAACTATCTGTACAGCTCAAGAATTCTTTCAATACAAGCATCGGAGTTGGCTTTTTAAGTTATTATAATCATTATTTGATTCACCAATCTGTATCATGCTCGTTTCTTATGATGAGGTGTGATTTCCATGGTTGCCTTTTTTCCAGAGATACCTTGATGAGTATTGGTAAGCATTACGAAACTGGAGAGCCTATTCCTGATGATATATACAAAAAGCTTCTTGCTGCTAGGACTTTCCGCGCTGGCACTCTAAGTCTCCGACAGGTTAGTTCTCTTGTCAGCCATAACCCTTGATCCCCGCCAAATTTGTCTCATGTTGATGCTGCTGCTTTAGCTCTCCTCCATGGATGTATGAGTTTTTGAATTTAATCTCATCATCCTTTTACCCATACAAGGACATCGAAGATTGATTCACATCACCATCCTTTACCATGTATGAATAATGCAGCTTAAATTTGCAACTCTTGATCTGGAGCTACACACAAAGTACATCCCTGGTGGTTCCGAATCAATCTATGATGTTGACAGAAGGGTTTCTGAAAGGACACAGATTATTGCTCCCCTTCCCGAGGATAGATTCCTCTGTGGTTTCAGTCATATTTTTGCTGGTGGATATGCAGCTGGATACTACAGCTACAAGGTATAATTTTATGTTTTGGATATCTTATCGTAAAACTATGACTAGTATGTTCTAGACTTACGGCTGTAAATTCATTTTCAATCTGAATTTCGCATGGTGTTTATATATCGACTTTCTGTTCAGTGGGCTGAGGTTTTATCAGCCGATGCCTTTTCGGCATTTGAGGATGCTGGATTGACAGATGACAAGGTATTTCTATTTTCTCCACACCTGTATCTATTTTATAAATCCTCACTGCTAAAAGTTCTCTTACATATTCCACTTAAAAAACAGGCCGTAAAGGAAACTGGTAATAGATTCCGAGAAACAGTTCTTGCACTTGGAGGTGGAAAGACTCCCCTCGAGGTTGGGAATGGCGCGATACATTCATTACATTTACCATTAACATTAGCTGTTCTTAGCATTGCCTGATTTTGTGCTGGAAACTGTTCAGGTGTTTGTTGAATTCCGCGGGCGTGAACCCTCGCCCGAGGCCTTGCTGAGGCACAATGGATTGCTCCAAGCTGCCTGAGATCATCGAGCCAATCGATAACTTGTTGAAAGAAGTGCAAAAATTTGCTACTGGAAATTACCTCACTTGAGTTGATTGCCTGATGTTCTTCACATGGAGATGATCGAGGTTTAATTGTTCATTTTAACTTATCTGTTCTAACCCCAGTTTCAAACCACATCACATTTTGCTGTTTGCTTTTTACTTAAAAAAAAATTATGAAATGAACTATTTATAGCTACTTTGATCTTCACCGGTCTTAATGCATTTGTTCTTTAGCAGATTATGTTACTTTGCAATTAGGGGTGGATACGATTTGGGTATTTGCAAATATGCAGGTATTTAATATTCGAATAACATCGAACAAATAATTGAAATCGCAAATCGTATCCAAACCTAAAATTTCGATTAACCCTGAAAATATTTGTAATATTTGTAAGTAATTCGAACTTAATCGAATTTAATAAATAATTTAAATTTTAATTAAATAAAAATATTTGTAAATATTTTAAATATTCAAATTGAAATCGAATCGAATATATTTATTAATATAAATTTTAAATATAATAATATAAATATATTCGGTTTATTATCAAATTCATTTTTTTGGCCAACAATTTTTATACTATACCTTCTAAGGAAACGCGCAGTGGCTAAAAAAAAACAAATCAATTTTAAAAATAAAATAAAAACAAAGACGTCGAGAAAACCTTTTGCTTCTCCCGACGCTGCGACACGGACGCAAATGGGTTCGGGACGAGGCCGGTTTTGCAGAAGATAGCTCCGGTTTTAAACTAGAAGTTGAACCGGACAGCCACGTAGTTAGTTAACCGTTCGGGTTGCCGGCCGGTCCGGTTCGGAAAGCACTATATATTATCTTTATTTTATGGGTCAAATTATCCTTTTCCGAGCCGCCATAGCATTCGAGTTGCAGAGCTCGCTCTCAAGAGGAAGACGAACACAGTATGGCCTCAAAGCTCTCGCTCTTCAGCTCTACACTGACTATATTCCGAACGGATTTGCTCCATGATTCATTCAAGCTTTCTCCCCAAGTTTTTATGCCCTCTCAGAACCACCACTACACCTTCCTACCCTGTAGATTAAGGAGGAGGAGTGAGCGTCCGCTGTTTTGTTTCCCTAAGCTCTTGTATTCGCCTTTACTTTGAGAATTATTTATCCTTATTATTTCAACAGGGTTTTTGGCTACTAGCGTGGTTGCAGAACAAGCGGATGTTGAAGTTGCGAATGGTTACACATTGACGCAATTCTGTGATAAGATAATCGATGTTTTCCTGAACGAGAAGCCAAAGTCTAAGGATTGGAAGAGATACTTGATTTTCAGAGAGGAGTGGAGCAAATATCGGGATAGATTCTACAATCGCTGTAGAACTCGTGCTGTTGCGGAAAATGATTCTCAGATTAAGCAAAAATTGATTGACCTGTCGAGAAAAGTTCAGAAGGTTTGGTTTATCCTGACCTCGTTTAACACCTACGATCAATCATTCTCAAATTTGATTCCTAATGTACCATTTGTGAATAATGCGGTGTTTTTTGCTTAATTTTTGTTGTCATTGGTTTATATAATCTGTATTACCATGTAAATATATTGATCTATACTGCTGTTTCAGATTGATGATGAAATGGAAAAGCATGCTGAACTCTTTAAGGAGGTGCAAGATAATCCCTTAGATATAAATGCTATTGTGACAAAGCGACGCAGGGAGTTCACCGGGGAATTTTTTCGGTATCTTACATTGCTCTCAGAAACATATGACTGTTTGGAGGACAGAGATGGTAATATCTCGAACCGAATTTGACAGGCAAATTTCATTTGCAGCATGTAATGTTTTATAGCATTCAAGGGCATTGGTTGTCAGTTTCATATACTGCTATTGGAATAGCTATCGCTTTGATGAAATTTTAATTAGTTCCTTACCTTGCTTTTGTTTGAAATCTCATCAGAGTTCTGAATTTGCTGATAGTGTGCATAGCGGCAATTAGAAGTTTTTCTGGAAGTCTGCATTGTGTTTGCGATCTAGTATGATTTTATTGTCATTGCATTTGCTTCTCATACATGGTGTAAAAATGGTGGTACTCATGTCGTTATGCAAAATTTATTCCGTCCCTGAATGTACCTCTAGTTATAAAAATCGCGGATTATGCTCTAGGGTCAGGGAGCATGCACAGGAAAGAAATGTATGTATCTGTATATACCATGCCTCTCTTTGTGCTCAAGCATAATTGTGTGAATCCTTCAAAAATTATATAGTTACGCGACAGATTTGTATGTATACATTTGTTTCCCTATATATTACATTGGAAAAGAATCATGCTTAGTTATCTCTTCGGCTATTGAAAGTTTAAAATTGCTGTATGATTGAATTTATCATTTCCGGCTGAACATGGGTTTTATAGAGTACATTTCAGATCTGTATTTGTCAATGTAAATTAGCTGCAAAATATAATGTGTTCCTCTTCATAGAAGATTGTTTGCTTATGTTTGTACATGATAAAAGTTGTCTTATTTCATTAATAGATACTGTGTCTCATAAGTAAGCATGTCTGTGGGGTAACTGACTCTGTAAATCGTGCTTCTTTGTCATCTGTTTGTGTGTGTGAATAAACATTTATAGGTGAAACATGTGTAACATCTTGTGTACCTTTATAATCATGGTCTTCTGGTACATGAAATTGTGTTTTTCCATTACTAAAAGCATGCACACACTCTATCCATTGAGCAGGGGTTTCGCGGCTGGGGGCCAGGTGTTTATCTGCAGTGAGTGCTTTCGACAACACTCTGGAGATTGTCGGCACATTAGACGCCGCCCAAAAAAAGTTTGATGAGATCTTAAATTCTCCTTCAGTGGATGTGGCATGTGACAAAATTAAAAGCCTAGCAAAGGCAAAAGAACTCGACTCTTCTCTCATCCTGCTGATAAATAGTGCTTATGCATCAGCCAAGGAATCAGCTACCATGAAAGATGAGGTATCACAGATCTTTTTGTATCTCGAAAATATGTAGATATATATATATATATGCCTATACGCCCGGTGACATATTTAATCAATAATCAAAACCATGGTTAAGACTGAATTTCTTTCTCACTACATGTATCTTTTACCAAATTGATTGAGTCGATTGGAGCAAATTTTTGCAGGTAAAAGATATTATGTACCGACTTTACAAGACAACGCAAAGTAGTCTGAGGAGCATTGCCCCAAAAGAAATCAAGCTACTAAAGTATTTGCTAAACATCACCGATCCTGAAGAGAGATTCTCAGCTTTAGCCTCTGCCTTCTCCCCTGGCGACGAGCACGATATCAAAGAACAAAACGCTATCTACACGTAACAATTATATTTCCAAATTCTCAATTCACTTAAATGACTTCAAATGCATTTTCCCCATCCTTGCTTTGATTGTATCAGAACACCAAAGGAGCTGCACAAGTGGATCAAGATCATGCTCGACGCCCATCATCTCAACACCGAAGAGAGTGAGATTCGGGAAGCCAAGAAAATGACCCAACCTGTTGTCATCCAGAGACTCTTCATCCTAAAAGAAACCATCGAAGAGGAGTACTTGGAGCAAGATGCCAGATCAAAGAAAATTGTTGAAACAGACGAATCTTAAGGTACTTCACACTCAAAACGATTTTACTTTCCATTTGGCGCAATCCATAGTGTAATTATTCCATGGACCACACGATTTCCCCGATGCTTTACCTTTTCTGTTATTCGCAGCATGGGATTTGTGACTTTGACTGTTTTTCCATTCTTGATGCATAATTTCGCAGATTTTTACGTCACGAAACATGTGAGGCTGCATAGGCCGCGTGAGCAAAACAGAAAGTCGCTTATTTTTCGCGCCTCCGGTAGCACGAGAACAGTTGCTAGCACGTATGAAACGGTGTCTTTAAGTGCAATGTAGCTCAGAATCGGCCAAATCTGCTCAACTGAATCCTCTTGGAGCTTTGCCATTATTCAGTTAGAGCTACTACTGTCCCAAATATTATGCCTTTGTGTTGTGTGTATGGATGGATAACAATGACGAATAGTAGGTGATCTAATATGAAAAATAGGTAAAAAAAAATTAATATTTAATCTAATGTTTTAATCGAAAAAAATAATAATAATGCATAAGTGTGACAAATCAATATTAACTAATTTGCTTTGAAAGTAGTCATTCTCTTGTTGTGTGCTGTACCATTTGGAAAATGAACTGCTAAATTAGGTAGATGTTATAACATATTACCCGAAGTAAACACCAGAAAGGAAAATTAATTTTGTTTTTTTTTTAAAAAAAATAGTGCTATACTAATACTGCAATGATTGTTTCTTTAAAATAATTATATTCCATATTTATTTGTTTTATTTAGTTTGATTATAAATATTCAATGAGAAGTTTTATAGCAGTGATGCGTGTGTGGATTTTTCTTGCAAGGGTATTTTTGTCATTTAAGCCATTCCCACGGAAGCGTCGACTGCCTATAAATAATGGTGTCCTGCCCGTAACGTCCATTGCTCAGTAGTTTCCGAGAACTCCAATTGACGTCAACGGCCATAGCTTGCAACTGAGAGGTAAAAGTTCCTTCGTTTTCCCAGTGATTTTCCGCTGAATTTTACGAGTAATTGTTTGTTTCTCTGTTTGATAATCCTTGGTCGTACGATCGTCGTTGCTATTTTGATACGTACGTACTCTGTAGCTGTATTCGCTGTTAGTACACGATTTTTGATTCGTTTGCTTTTGATCTGGAATAATTTTTGTTTGTGTGGCTTGGAGTAAGTCTTGCTCTACTTTTAATCAACTAAATTTGGTTTGAGTAGGAAAAATGATTTAATGAAACATGTACGGATGACCATTGTGTCTCTGTATGCCTTTGTTGGAGCATTTACGTGATTAAGAAGTGTTTTTTGCTGAGAAGTGATTGTGTCGTGTGAAAGTCCAAGGATTGAAGAATGGAGAAGGAGCTGGAATTGGAATGGAGAGAAGCTCAGAGCATTGAGATAAATGTTGACCTTGTCGCTGCAGCCAAAAGCCAGCTCAAGTTTCTTACGGTTGTTGATAGGAACCGTTGGCTCTACGAAGGTCCAGGTCTAGATAAGGCCATTTACAGGCAAGAACTCTGTTTCGGTTTTGTTTTATGTAGAGTTTTATTCATCCCCCTTGTTGTTTCTGAATAAATTCATGAGTTTGTAATGCAGTGTGTTGTTGTTGTTGATTTTAAGTTCTAGGATGAATTGTGCATCATTAACCAGCAGAATAAAAACCATGATATATATATATATTCTATTGGAAATTGGAATGATTTTTGTGAGGTTTGTATAAAACAGTTGATATTGTGGTTTCTTTTAGCAATTACGGTGTGTGATCACTATTTTCCATTTTTAAAACTTAGGCTCTTATTTATCAGATCGATTGTGTGTTTTGGTTATTATTTAATATTCATTATTGAATATCATGAAATCAAGATTTTAGCATTCATTACTGAGGCCTTTCTTGTGCAATCTTGACTGGGATGATTGTTATCTATTCATCATCAGGTATAATGCATTTTGGCTTCCCTTGTTGGCAAAATTTTCCGAGTCGACACTATGTGAAGGTCCATTGGTTGTCCCTTTGGATTGTGAATGGATTTGGCATTGTCACCGGCTCAATCCGGTATGCTTCATTTTCTCGATGTACACCATCTCATGAAAGCTTGAACTGAAATGCCAATTTTTGTCTCATCACCAGGTTAGATATAAGAAAGACTGCGAGGAGTTGTATGGAAGAATTCTTGACAATAAGAATGTTGTCTCATCTTTGAAAGGAACTTCCCGACGGGCAACTGAAGAAGCTTGGAAATCTTTATATCCAGATGAGCCCTATGAATTGGATTTCACAAATGATCTTCATTATAACACTGGAAAAATTGTAAATGGGGAAAAATGGACAAGCTATGATCTGGTCTCAGCTGTTAAGAGGCAAAGTCCGTTCTTTTATCAGGTAAATAAGTGAAAATTATGATCCATTTTTGAGGATTAGAACATTCTTCAATTTTACATTAAATCTGTTGTACTTCATCAAGTTGTCCATTGTTAAATATACTCTGTTTTTTTCGTATTCTTTCGTAGGTTTCTAGACTGCATATGAATGATACTCGCTACATTGAAGGAGCAGTGGCAAGGTACAAAGGATTCCTGCACTTAATCAAGAGAAAGATCGAAAAATCCATAAAAAGCTTCTCGGTTCCAACTTACGACATTGATCTCATCTGGCACACACACCAGTTACATCCAGTTTCCTATTGCAATGACCTTTTAAACATAATGGGAAAGGTCTTAGAACATGATGACAATGATTCTGACCGAAGCAAGGGGCAGAAACTAGATGTCGGATTCTCTGAAACTACCAAGACATTTGAGGAGATGTATGGATCTCGATATTGGAGGGCTGGAGCAATGTACAGAGGTACTGCCCCTTCACCTGTTAGAACCACTCCTTACACTGGCATTGTTTCCGAGAAGGTTCCAGCTTCAAATGACATCCCAAACATAGCCCCCCCAGCAGCACAGGTTTTTGAGGTAATCCTTACTATTGCAAGTTCCTGCAATTTATTTCAGCTTTGTGTCATGTAAAATTGATGCCCTTGTCGTCTTAAGTGTGTTTTGGAAGGAACTTTCTAGAACCAACGATTTTGTTCACTGATATTTCATCTTCTAAGTCATTGAATTACAAGCTATGAAGCTGATTCTAATCGATCCAATGACCCTAGGCTTACTTGGACTTGTAGTTTTGTTCTTGAGATACTAATCTAGTTCCCTTATAACAAAATACTTTGGCATTTCCATATATCATCGTGGATTCTTTACATAGAATTGCGCTATCCATTTCATTCTTACGAGATGTGTTTGCAGTGGCAAAGTTCATATTCTTTTAACCTGCAGGTCATGTTGGAGATCGTTGGCGTAAGGAATGTTCCAGAGGGTCACAAGGGAAGCTTATTCGTGTCCTTCAGTAAAACACAGCCGGATTCGATCTTCGATGCAAAACGAAGCCTCACAATTTTATCAGAAGCTGGTGAGAAACAAGTGGCTTCCTTCCGGTGTCAGCCTACTGGGGATCTGCTCCTCGAACTCGTGTCCTTTGTTTCGAGCTTTCCACTCTCGAAGTCGTCGAAAACAATTGGAACAGCTTCTATTTCTCTGGAAGATTTCCTGTTCCCGGACTCTGATCTTATGGTGGAGAAATGGTTGGATTTGGAACCAAGTTCTACTAACATAATGGTAACCAAACCAATTGGATTACGAGTTGCCGTATCTGTTACAGTACCTTCCCCGGCACCGTATGCACTTCACATGACTCGGAGTCAGCCTTTTATGAAAAATTCTTGCATGTTTCCGCTTCCTGTCAAGGTTCAGTTCAGTAAAAGTTGGACGAGCATCATCGATGATGACGGGAATTCAGTCTTAAGCCTACAGATGAGGTACTTAAACATCTGCTTGTTTAGTATTTATAATTTATATGTTTTTCTCGTAAACATATATTCGATACTTTTCTAACGCGTGCAATGAAAACATTAGAGATTTGAAAAGGTTGAATGGCGGAAAAGAAAGTAGAAGAAGAGCAGTGGTTGGCGTGGCGGAGTCGAAGGAAACATATACCTTGGCCGAGTGGGGGGAGTCCGAATTGCTGCTGGTAAATTCACCATGGTCGATCAAGCTTCAAGACACGAACACTGATGACGGTCACCTCTTGGAGCTGACGGGTCCTCGTACTGTAAGAACTCCTCGTCTATTTCCTTACTCATTCCGACAGAATCATGAGATCTTTACGTATTCGACATTTCTTCTTCATGCAGGTGAGACTCTTTGGTGGCGGAAGGCTAGATTACGAGGTAAGGCGATGCGAGAAACATAAAGGCGAGAATAAGGCCGAGGCTCACCTGATTACGGCTGTAGAATTCTCCGGCAAAGAGCCGTATGGAAGGGCTGTGGCATTACTGGACTTAAAGAATGGCACTGTGAAGGTAAGAGTTTCTTTTCAGTCCAAAAAAAGTTGATAAAAATTGAAAAGGAAGACACCTGCAATTCTTTCTATCTTCACTGTTGTTGAATTTGTCAGGTTAAAGAAGAATGGTTCCTTATGCCTGCAATGATACTTGCATTCATACTGAGTGATATAGCGAAGAAGGCTGGTTATGATAGCCGGATTGTAGGTTTCCGGCGGAAGGCGCAGAACGGCGAGAAGAATGAGAAAGCTGCTGATCTACCGGAAGTGGAGGGCAACATGGTGAAATCCGGTGGTTGTGGAGGTGGCGGTGGCGGTGGATGTGGTGATATGGCGAAATCGGGTGGTTGTGGCGGGAGTGGAGGATGTGGCGGTGGATGTGGTGGCATGGCGAAATCGGGTGGTTGTGGCGGGAGTGGAGGATGTGGCGGTGGATGTGGTGACAAGGCGAAATCCGGTGGTTGTGGCGCGAGTGGAGGATGTGGCGGTGGATGTGGTGACATGGCGAAATCCGGTGGTTGTGGCGGGAGTGGAGGATGTGGCGGCGGATGTGGTGATATGGCGAAATCTGGTGGTTGTGGCGGGAGTGGAGGATGTGGCGGTGGATGTGGTGATATGGCGAAATCTGGTGGTTGTGGCGGGAGTGGAGGATGTGGCGGTGGATGTGGTGATATGGCGAAATCCGGTGGTTGTGGCGGGAGGTGCATGGACAAAGGTGACAGTGGCTGCGGTGGTGCAATCTCCGGCTAAGTGATGAAGGCAGTAAAAGAGATAGCTGCTGCCGAGTAGATGATTGTCTGCTCAGTCTCTCTAGCTCTCTCTCTCGGGATGTTTACCAGTATTTCTTTAACCAGTTCAAGTATGCATATGGAGATGTGTGTATTTATGTATTATTATTATTATTATTATTATTATTATGTATTAAAGCTGTAATTCAAAAATTGACACCAGGTAAATTTCTGATCGAATTTAAGACTTTGCAAATTAAGCTCGACAATTAAGCGAACGATATGTAACAGGTGATCTGAAGGTGTTGAGGGTTTAAACCCATATGCAAACTAGGTTCAACAACTAGTGTCGGAAGGTTTGAACTATGATCTCGCAATTATATATAAACTAGGCTCAACAACTAAATGAACCATATGCAAGATCATTTACAAACTAAGCTCAACAACTAAATGAACCATATGCAAGAGATATGTACAAACTAAGCTCAACAACTAAAAGAATACAGGTGATTTAAATTTGAACTCATGATCTCAGAGTCATAAATTCAACTCGACGCAGTTAGGCATTCCTTAAGGACCTATATTTACAAATATGTGTAATGTAGACTCATTCATCTTACCATCTTCACCCTATAAAATTTATTATAATAAAAATAATATAATGTATAATCGGCTAATTCGTCAATTAAAATTAAATATCAGCCACACAACTCTTTTGTCCAATAAAACTATTATTTTGAATTGTGATGTTTTGGTGCCATCAAAATGAAGCGACGTTTCGTTTTTTACTATCACTAAAGTCATGTTTTGTGGTTTATATCTTTTAATTTAGTTTATACTTTATATTAAATATCATTATTTTCTAATTTTTGTACTAGTATAAAACTATTTAATTTTGGGAAACTAAAAAAGAGTATATTTTTATTTTACAATCAATCGTTATACAGTAAAAACTCTTAACTAGACTATACTCCAAAAGAATACAGTTTAGCATTATTAAATAACAAAAATTCAAAGAGGTGGGGACAGAAATAAATCCAAACTCATGACACATCCTCGGTGGTGGGGGGCTGGACTTCAGACTAATGCTACTTTTTTTCCACACGAGAAATAGCAGTTGGAAAGCAAAAGCATGACCAATTCTAAAATATGTATTTGTCTCTCTCACACACACACACATACACAAACACATCACAATTTCTAAGACCTAAAATCAAATAGACTGGAGCGGATACAACATAGAAATTCATCTAAGTAGCAATTCAATAAGAAAAACATAGATAAAATTAATATCTATAGCGGAACAACTTGTTTGTACATCATTGAAGATCGAAGTTGGAAGATAGGGTGACAGCTATCAACAACACGGCATCATCATATATAAGCTTACGACGCAGAATCATATACTTCTACAAGTCTCTGCGTAAATAGCGTTTGATGTGTGTAGGCAGTGATAGCAGTGCGGTGTTTCCTGTTTATCAGCAGATGAAAATAATGGAGGGGTCGCAGCAACACTCATCGATTAGGAAACAGCAACACAGAGCAGCCAGACTGTCACTCGACAACACATCAACATTCAACACAGTCTTATTTACTTATTGATTCATTACTAAGAAATCATTTGAAATATATATATATATAATGAAAATAATTTGGAGAAATTAGTTTTAGTTTAGACTGTTTGGTAATCCTCGGTGTGCTTTGATAATTTCGTACAAGTAAACATACACTACCTTAGAGCGATTTGAATGAGATCTAAGCAACATATACAGATTTATGGAGCAGAGAGAGAGAGAGAGAGAGAGAGAGAGAGAGAGAGAGAGTACCATCCTTCAAGGAAACCAGTATTTTTCCGAGGCGGTGGTGCAGCATAATACTGTGGAGGCGCCATTACTGGAGGTCCTTGATATTGACCTTTCACACGAAAAAGCAAAGAGCAAACCTCTTAACTGATCTGTTTCAACTTAAAAACTTGAGTAAAGCACAAGCAGAGTTCATCTATTGCAAGCTTCCTTCGCACACAACATATGTAACAAAAACCTCCCATGCTGTTCCGATACGATTCGATTCGATTCGAAATTCGATAGGATTGGTTCCTATCGTCAAAAAGTATCAAAAACTACAACAACATAGAAGACGATTTCCTTGCGGAGAATGCATACCTTGAGCAGGATAGGGATAGGCGTAGGCATATTTTGGAGGTTCAGTCATTTTGGCGTTCAACTCAATCCGAATGAACAACAGAAGATGGTTCGAGAAGAGGAATGAAAACACCTAGCCAAGCTGCGGGTCGTTCATACTTATAATCGATGTTAATAGAGTCACCGCACGCGGAAACTTGCGTCACTCTCACACAATAATTTTATTTATTTAAATTCATTATATTTTCAAAATAAATATTTTGTTATTTAAAGTTTTACACTCTCAATAGTCAAGAGTGATTTTTTATTTAGTAAAAATAATTTTAAATTAAATATTAATTTTTTTTTTTTTTTTGCTGTTAAAAGATTTTACATTACTAATTTAATTTGATCCGTGTGTAAAAGTCGAAAGAAATTGTTGAACGAAAAGAATATTATTTATCAAAAATATGTTTCTTTAGTGAGATTTTTTTTATACATCAATAATATGTATTAATTTTTCTGCAAATATATTTTTGGTAAAATGTATTTATTTTATTAATATCCACATAATAAATTAAACAAAAAAAATCTAATGAAATAGATGCATCTGATTCAAGAGAGATATCTCACCGCTTAATTTACAAAGTTTGACCATTCCGAACTTAAGTTGTTAAGATGTAAATTCGATCAATTTCAATTTTAATTCTGATTTTGGTTCAAAATCATGTATTTAGCAGCTAATTTCAATTCTGATTTTGATTATAATTTAATATTTTATTACTTAAATTGTATTCCCTTGCGGGTCAGATTAGTTATTGAATTTAACATTAAAAATATTATTATATTGGTATTATTTTTTTTTTTTACAAATATTCTTCTGTTATTATTATTATTATTATAAGACATTCAATTTTTTTTAATTTGTATTACGTTTTGATATAATAATTAAAAAAATAATTCAAACCCGTAACAACTTTTTTTTTTTTTTTTTTTGTAAACAAAAAGTGTTAATACGACATTGGTAAATAATTACTCTCTTCACTTTACATATAATATCACAATTTTTCATTTTTGTTTCTTTCATATGCTATGATATTTTTTTTTCAAGAAAAAACAAATATTTTACTTTTTAATCATATTTAAAATTTTATAATTTATAAGTTTTTTAATTTTTTTTATTAGACTAATTAGTTATATTAATCTTAATATATAAATATTTGTATTATCTTTTAATTAATTTTACTAATACATTTTTAATTATTTATTAATCGCATCTCACCTAAATTCCCGGGACGGATAGAGTATAAATTAAAATTAAAATAACAAAATAATTTATTAAGATTAAAAAAATTATAAATTAAAAAATTTAAAATGTAATTAAAATTTATAATTATATTTTTTTTTAAAAAAAATTATATGGGACTACCCGAAAAAAGGAAAAAAGAGTTTGACAATTTTATGTGAGACTTTTTTTAAATAATAATAATACACTTCTAAATTATAATATGGAGAATAGTTTTAAAAATATATATAATGTTCCATCCTTAGTCTCTTTAGTAATTTGAAATGAAATATTAATTTAAATTTTTGTTTAAATAGTAAATTTATTCATCCAGTGTTTTTTTTTAAAGAAATCCAATATATATATATATATATATTTTTACAAAAATCAATATTCAATTTCAAAACTAATTATTTTTAAAGTAGAGTTGTCCTTCAACTTTCTAAGGTGAGAAAATCCCAAACATTTTTCTCAATTTGGGATATATTCTAATCTTATAATATTCGCTTTCAATTTATTTCATAGCTTTCGGTGGTATTAAAACCAAAAATGAAAAATCGATAGCTTGATCGGTTGATTTGAAATATAGAAATTGAAGTTTTACTATTATTGAATGATACATTACTTAATTGCAAGTTGATTATATATTCCATTTTGTAAAAGATTTAAATACATATAAATACATTTATATGGAGAGATAGAACTAAAAAAATAAAAATAAAATTGATATTGTAAGTAAAATTCACTTTAAAAAATAGTTTAAAAAAAAATAAAAATAAAATAATAACACTTTTTAATCATTTTCTGCCATATTATAAAAAATTGAATTAAAAAATAATAATTTATTATATACTTATAAATTAAATGCAAATTGCATGACGAGGGTACGTGGCCGTTTTGTTCTATCCTATGAAGGAAATCAGTAATGACTTGCCTAGGTGTCACAAATTTACGGCTTTACCTAAACAGACAGGTCATATGTGCATAGCCAAGCTAAATACAGTGCATTCAAATGAAATCAGAATCCTTAGTCAGCAATACAGGTTGTGAAGTAGTAATTATTTCCTCCAATAGGGGATTTTGATTCATTCTCCCAATTTGAGACGTAATTAGCAGACACCTAATTTCAGTATAGTGTGGTGTGGTGGAGCAAGTTATATAGTTAGTTAGAAATTATTTGTACTTGTGATGTGAGGCTCAGATTTCATGGCTTACAAATTACAAGAAGCTGATTGATTCAGTTATCTTTATTGTTCTGTAAATGGAGTGGTTGGCGAACAAGAACACTAGAATTCCATCTATACCTACTACACTATGTGTATAAAATGAACCTAAAAGTTGGGCTATATATTGGGCTTGGATAGAAATGTAGAGAAGGAAAGCCCAGCTTCTATGGGAAATTAAAATGCAGAGAGAGATGAATGGAAACAAAATTTAAAGCGAAAATAGTTGGAGAATGATTTGCGGAATAATGGGGAACAAATTCTGAAGCAATCTAAGCTAAAATGGAGCAAAATTATGGAAAATATCAAACGCAATATTTACTGAATTATCTAACGTTTTTTTTTTTTTTTTTTTTTTTTTTTATGTACTTGATTGCAAACGGTCCAATCAAAATCCAGGTTTATGAGGAGAAGGTATTACCGGAACTGCACTGTGCGCAGGGCGATCCTCGCGGCGAGTAGCCATGGCCGGCGGCATAACGACGGCGTAATGTCCGGTTTGATATAGTCCGCCGCTGAGCGTTGCAGGCAGGGGGTAAACAACCGGTTGCGCCGCTCGATTCTCGGTTGCATTGCTACCGCTGATTGCCATGTGGCATTCAGAGAAGCCTTTGTTTCCTTCAACAACGCCACACGGAATCAATCCGCGATTATCCTGTAGCGACATCACCGGAATCGGTAACAGATCCAGAGGCGGTCCAACGCTAGGCTGATACTCCTTGTCAAAACCAAACAAAAAATCCGGATTCGAATGCGTGAGCGGCGCGGACTGTTTGGCATCCGATTTCACCGGACGAACCGCCGGAGCAGGGGAATCGAAGATGAAGAGGCGTAATTTCGCCGGTTTGGAAGACGCCTTCTGCAAGCGGTCGTACTCCACCATCATATGCTCCACATCGTCGTCGTCGACCAAGGAGACGAGAGAGTCCAGATCCTCGTCAGGCAATTGGTACTTTATCACAATCTCGGAATTATCGCTCTTGTTGCAGATGAATTTAAGCTTGGCGGCGATCTCCGAGAACTTGATGCAGCGATCGACGGCGAGAATTTTGGTATCGCCGCCGATGTAGGAGAGCTGGCGGTCGGTGCGGCGCGACCAGATCTTACCTCCATGACTGCACAGCAATTTAACCTTGCTGCCATTGCTGAGATTTGAGCTCTGTTTCTCCATGTGCGATTCCAACAAGCAGAGAGAGCCGTAACAACTTGAAGATTCTCGACCTACAAGGCAGATTTTGGCATCCTTTCCAAGCCGTATCCCAACTGGCACCTATTACTTATAAATAATATCTACTCCCCTGGAATTCCTATTATTACAAGATCGCCCCTCTCATTTCCGAATTTGCAAAATACCCCTACCAGCATTAAAGAACCAACCGATTACATTCACTGCATATGATATCAAAAATAAACAAAAAATAAAAATCTTAAATCAGAAATATTCACTTATCTAGCTATATAATATAAATTAAATATATATTTATATATATATCACCAAAAAATATATTTTCTTAATGAGTAAATTTTATAAAAGATTTTGTAAAACCAGTTTATTTTTCTCTAGAAAAATTCAATTTAAATATTCTAAAACATAAAAATATCAAGAGACAACTAAATACATTCTTATTTTTAACTTTATTGAAACTAATAATCATATTACAAAAGTATTGCTCATATGCGGATCAAAAAAATAATAATAAAAAAATAGAGCAAAATAAAAATTCATAGGTTCTATAGAATACATTTTTATTGAACATAAAAGATTTGTTTTTTTTTATTTTAAAATAAAATCAACACTATTTATTATGTACGATTTAAAAATATATTATTTTATTTTATAAAATACTACTATATGATATGGAAATACTAATTAAATAAATACTCAAATCAACATTTAATTTTAAAAGCTTTTTGAAAACAAACATACATTCTAATTTTTAACACAAAATCAGAGAGAAAAAAAAAAAAAACCATTAAAATCATCTATTTTCTTATTTTTAATAGTAGAATACTCCATATATTAAAATCTCTACCATTTTTTCCCCATGTAATACAAGGTTATTTGTATAAGCATATAAAGGTCATTACATTTGGACAAAATGAGTTTTTGTGATAAAACTAACATCTAAAATTTCGGAGTACAAAATATTATAATTTATTTAATATTTAGCTAATAAATTGAAATAAATAATAATGATATAATTATATATGAATTTTTCGAAGCAAATTGTATATAAATACATGAAAATTAATATTTTTAATACTAAAAAAAATTATAAAATTTTGGTTGTGTAGTTCCATCCTGAATACAATCATTGAATATATGATGTTCTTTGTATTTTTTTTTATGACATAGAAACTCACCGTTGATAATTTTCTAATGTATTTTGAATAAATTTATAGTCAAATTTATGGGTGGCAAAAATAAACACAGTTCGAAAACTCGGTCCGAGCACGGCACAAAAAATCTGTGCTTAGACCTCCAGAAATAGGCCCGAAAAATTTCAGACCTTGCCTGGTCTGGCACGCTAATAAACCGGGCCGTGCTTGGCCGGGCCGGATGTTAAAATTAATATTTAAATTATAATAAATTTATACATATTTATTAATTTTTGAAATAAAGATAAAAATTAAAACATGGTTTAATGGTAATTTTATTAGCTTATATATATATATATATTTG